AGTTTGCAAGGTGCATTCTTGTGCTTGTAAAGGATACCTTGCAGGCTACAGAGCGCGGTCCAGTCACGGATTACCTGCATCCGATGAGGATGGGGCTTATGCTCCTCCTCCGCAGAGATAGCGAGAGATCGAAAGAGACTGCGTGCAAGTCGAGTTCGTTCGACACAGGTAAACTGAACAATGGGATCTTCCACCTTGAGATCATCGGCGAGCGACAGTCCCAGAAGCTGACGCTCGATCTCGATGGTATCGATCTTGGCAAAAAACTCCTCCCGGATGTTGTCCCGCGCATGCTTCCTCAAGAATCGCCTCTCGCTCTGAATAGCCCTCTCCAGCTTGCCATGCTGGGCGTAGAGGTCTGTGCCCTGAGCTTTTGAGACCGATCCGTATCGGTATCTCATGTCACTTACCAGGTCCTGCTTCTGGCGGTTGAGTTCGGCAAGATGGGGGTCGTGTTCGATGGTAGCTTTCTGTTCGTCGGTCAGCTCCTTGGGGACCCTCGGGTCCCGCGTCAAGCTCATCATTCCGACGGCGCGGATGACCGATTCGCGGGCCGGACATCCAAGATACGCAGACTGCACGTCGCGTTTCACCTTCTGCGACAGGTAGTAGCGTTCAAAGATGTCAGCCCGAGAGTGGCCCAGCACCTGGTTCCGCTCCGCTGCCGTTGCGACATCTACTCTCCAGTTAGCACGCGGCGATCCAGAACATGGAGACTCAACCGTAGCAGCTTACCATCCACCGCATTTGCCGTGCCCCTCCTGATGCAGTAAGGAGTCAGCGGATCTTCGAGTCCCGCGTTGCGGCCCAGCCGCTGAAGGTACTGATTGAACGCATCGTACGGTAATGCAAGGCCGGGCGAGATACGCACTCCGTGCGCGGTGTGGACGGTGCGGCGAACGACAGGTATATCGAGCATCTCGGATCTCCACCTTAGCTGTAAGCTGTTCCGGTAAGGGGGAACCTCGATGCGAAGGATGTCCTCCGGCGAGTTGATTCCCTGTGCCTCAAAGGCTCGATCCGCGAGCGCCAGCGCAAGAAAATGCGAGATCGGGCACAGAGCCAGGTTGTCATCCCGCTCGTGGAATATGTAGGTTGTCCTATGCTGAGGGGTCAATACAGCCATACGGCCGAACGGAGCGTCACGCCACATCGGCAGGGAACGGGAAGGGGACCTACGGCTGGGATTTATTTCTTTTTCCCTTCATAAACATCAGCGTTAGCTCCATGACCAGAACGTGACGCCCAGGTTCCTCCGGATTGGGGATGACACGGAGCACCACGTCCCGGTACCGCAGAGCGTCGTTGGAGCCCCGAACGCAGCCGCTCTCAATGAGCGCTCCTGGACGAGAGGACGTGTAGGCAGTCATCAGCATCAGCAGCGGCAGTTGCACCGTATACCGCTCGTGTGGGAACGCCGACGTGTCCAGGCACCAGTGGTAGTGGAGGACGGACAGCAGATCCTCAACGCTGAGGGGGGGCTTGCATTCGACCGAGAGATCTAGGCTGTATTCATCCGTCAACGGTCCCAGGATAAACTACATGTGTGGTGGATGCCAGTTAGATACGGGAACATGAAGGCCAGGATGGTGTGGTGGGACTCACCTCGCTGACCTGCTCCCCAACGATCTCATCCATCTTCTTTCCAGCGACTTTCTTGTAGAGCAGTCGGAGGAATTTCCACTCCACCCAGATAGTGCTCTGCTTTGTGACGTTGAACTGGCTCAATCGCCAGTCGGCATAACATCTAAAGTTCTCACCTGCACATACGGTGAGATAGACATTGCTGTCCACCCCCATGAAAGCACAAAAGCTACAGAAAAACATTAGTTTGATCACCTACGCATCACAATAGGGCTTACCGATCCCAAAATCTCTGCACACGGTCGACGGCCTTGGTTGTGGCATCGGCATACTTTTTGCCGGTGACCAGGAACCGAGCCACTCGAGCGGCATCCCTTGCGTGGTAGTCCTCGGGGGTAAGCTGTGGCCGTTCCGACTTCAAGCAACGGCGAGATCTCTTCGCACTTTTACCTTCTACAAATTGGAAATGTTGGATGGCCATCTTGGTTGCGAAAATAGAAGCTTGGTGTAGTAAGAAAGACAGAAAGAATAAGTTGTAGGGATCGCTCGACAGCGAAGCGCATGATGGTATTTATACATCTTGAAAATGGAAGGATGCTCAAAATGGATCGCACGAAAAGACAACTGCGAGCCCAAAAATAGATCCCTTCTCGGGCCATGAGCAGAATGTAACCACGGCCACATCTCTCGAAATCGTGGCCTCGTGGTGTCCTTCTCTGTGTCTCTTCAACCGATGCCATCCTTGCCCTTGAGCCAAAAGGAGCTTTTCAAAAGAATGCTTCTGTCAAATCGTTATTTCGAAAGATCAGTCGTTTTGCTGCGGCGCTTACATGCTCTCGGGCAATGTTCTTGAGACCCAAAAAATCGTGGCCATCAAAGGTTTTGACTTGTTATCCATCGGCTCCTAATGATGGCCGGTTGGTTGTGTGAACCGCTAGAAAAGTGGTGACTGGTAGTAAAGGAATGACTGCTAGTAAAGGGGTGACTGCTGTGATGGAAGCTAGGAAGTGTCGTTGCGTTCCTGGATTTCTGGATTTCTTTTGCCTGCTCCCACATTTACCCATTCTATTATTTTATGCGTCTAATCTAGAAGAACATGGGTATCAGACAACGTAAACCAATCAAACCACGCCTCGGCGCACTGGCTTGCGTACGGAGGGCGCTATCAAAAGAATTGCGCCGCTCAGATTCCATTTATACCGCTAAGAAGCGCCACCACGTCTTAATGAGTAATTACATTTAGCTTCAAATCACCCCGCATTCTATTTATATGAGATTGCCATGTATTAAGAATGGATTCCTCTTTCTTCTCTAATTTCTCATCTCTGGCATCCCATCTGACAATTCATGACTGTTAAAATATGGCATTCAATACTGATATTGCCACAAGAGCTCTTGTGGTGGCTCTTAAATCACTTTATTTTGACAAGTCAGATGCTGAAATCACAGAAATCACCCAGATCTCAAAGAGTCAAATCAACTGTATATATAAACACACAATTGAATATGGATTTAACTCTGAACTGCCTCATATTATACTTCACAATGAATGGCTTAGAGATGCCTCCGAATCTGGCTGATCAACTCAGAGAAATGATAGCATTAAGAATGCTATTCTTGTAAAAGTTCAATGTGATTATTATGAATGAGAAAAGAGCTGTACTGATTTTGTCAATGAATTCAGTAATGAAGAAATTGAGATATCTTCTATAACTATATAAAGAATTCTTTACAAAGCAGATCTTTGAAAAATAAAGTCTATATGAAAATCAGAATTCATTAAAAAAATGCAGTTAAATCAATTTCAATTCTATCTGAAGTATAAAAATTAAATTTTGAAGAATTGAAAGAATGTTATATAATCAAATGAAACCTCTATTATTCTTCTTCATTAATGAAATGAATATAGAATATGATATGTGCTTCATGAAATGTATTTTCAATGCTGTATACACAAACAATGAAAGAAATTCTCTGAATTCATGTTCTGAGCCTGCTTCTTATATAATAAGAAGGGTTCATTACATTGTTGAAGCAAGGAAATCTTGCAAAAGCATGCTCAATCTCTTGAATATATTAAAATTTTAAACACAGAAATAGAATTTATAAAGAAACAAGAATGGGAGCTTTTAAATAACATACAAAAACTACAGATTGATCATCAACAGTCAGATCAAAAATCAATATAAAAGTTCAAAAAAATCACAAACAAACTATCTTTTGGAAAAAATAGTGAAATTGATTGATATCACTATCAAGTTCAAATCCTCTTATCAAAGCTTTTTTCCTTTATAAAAGAGTGTTAAATTGATCATCTGAATATCATTGTGCAGGAGGATAAGACCCCATTTCATGATCACTATATTCAATATTATATATACAACATTCATGACATTCAACAATTGCTTTGGTGTGGTAATTCACCAGATCTCAATGCAATTGAAGCAGTTTGATTTTGAATGAAGTGCAGAACAATTAAAAAGAGAGCTTTTAAAAATTACAGAGAAACAATTAAAGTATAAAAGTAGATATGAAAAAATCTATCACAGAAGAAGATACAAATATGAATTGAGTGAATTTCTATATATATTCAAAAAATTATAGAATTAGAAGATGGCAATGAGTATAGAAAAAAATACTCAACTGACTACACAGAGTGACAGATTGACAGGCAGATTACACATTAAAAAGAGGGGCAGATTCTGTGTGAGTGGCAGTGGAGACAATGGAAAAATCAAGATCTGAATATTCAGTATAAAATACAGTGGGAATTTCCGCCAAGATTTGTGGCACTGTCTAGCTGTCTTTTTGCCGGCGCAATTCTTTTGATAGCGCCCTCCGTACAAAATGCTAAAAAGTGAAAATGCAAAATTGCAAAACTGCAAAATCGCTTTTTCAAGCCGCTCCAACGCGTCAAGAAACAGTTAAGCTTTAACAGTCAAAAGGTAGCCCCTGGATGATGTCATAGGTAGAGAACCTTCCAGAAGCAATTCCTCAGTTATATAAAATTTAGATCTCTTTACAAAGTATTACAGCTAATATTTGTATCAATACCGATTTCTATTCACATAATCTAAACAAACTGTATTTTGAGGTTAAGTGATGATCAGACAATAAGTTTGATCAGCATGGGTGGGGCTATCAGCTGTGAGGAAAACATTCTACAGTTCTCTTGGACTCCCCTGCCCAACCTTTATACATTTTACGGCCTCCAAATAGATTAGATTAAATTGGTATATCTACATGTATGTATATATATGCTCTTAACACAAACTTCTGAAACCAAAGGTGATGGCTTTAAACTATGGCTATGGCTCGGGAGATGCACCATTGGCTATAATTATAAAAGTAGCTTGACTTGTACAGTAGCAAATTATCTTTAGCTACAAGCAACCTATATCTAACCTCTGAGCAAGTTAAACATCCCCAGGGCGCTCTACTGGCCTTCCAGCAATAATGCACGCTGCAGATATCTAGTCCACAGTCAGAATCGATTCTCTGCTTGATCTGACACATCAACCAGTTGGCAAAATCCAATGATGTGTTGTGAGTCCATTGGCTCTTGCAGGAGAGATATCCTGTCCATACATTCAAACCCATATCTGACACCAATGTCATGTTCGTATAGGATATCCTCGATATTTTGAGTCAGATGGCTGACCTCCTGGAGGAAGGCACCTCTGTATTCACACAAGACATCTAAAAAAAAATATTGTGAATAACTTGCTAGGCAACTTCTCAAACCTGGTGAATGTTAGCAACCAGATGAAGCACTAGATCTACTGTGGCGACGAACTTGTCAGTCCCAATACACAATTCACCACATGGAACAAGAGCAAGAATTCCTGGTGGAAACTTTTGCTGCAGCTGATACCAATTACATGCAGAGTTGAGCTGATTCTTCAGCTTTGTGTGCTTTTCAAGATACTCACTATCGTCCACCGATGAATTTCTCCTGTCTGGTATTTTGAGGCGGGGATAGAATGTCATTAGCAGATCCCGGAAGGCGCTGGAGTCAGCTCGGCCTGAAAAGCCAGTGTCTTTGATCAAACCCCCACGGCTCTGCTGGGCCGCAACCCTAACCGAGCGTCGATTTTTATGGTCATCCTCACGTCGAAGTCGGCAATTCAGCAGCTGGACTAGGAAGAATCGACGGAGGATAGCACAGATTGTGACCCCAGAATCTAACGCATCTAGCACTTTTTTCATCAGCATTGCATCATCGTCCGCAGAAAATGGCGCTATCATGTCATTGCGCTCGCGAGCAGCCTCGCAGGCCTCGGCTAGTTGCTCGAAGGCCAGGGGACTCGCGACCGCAAAAAACAGTCGTACCAAGAATGGGACTTTTTGATGATACTTTGTTTCACTTCGCCGAACCAAGACGCGGTAGACCTCGTCCGGCTCGAAGATCTTGTTTGAGATAGGTTCGAGTTCTGTACATAGCTCAAACATATCGGTAGACTGGTTTGCCTTTGCCGGAGGTTTGGGTCGCCTTTTCCGGGGCCGGGAGGCATTGCCATCAGCCCTGGAGTCAAGGGAGCTTCTTTTCGGCTTGCTGGGAAGGGCTGCCAGGACGCCAGCAGCAGTCCTTTCCGTGCTATTGCGCGCCATCTTGCTCGTCAGCGCTGAATCTGGGCGTGGATGCGGTGCAGTTTGGGCATAGTTGCTGCTAGACACTTCAGGCGGTATGTTCAAGCATTTGTCTTCCAGCTGCTCAGGAGCATGATCTTGTGTTGTTGGCACCTCATCGCACTCCTCTGCACTGTTCATGGCTAGTGGATCAGGAGAAACTGTGTTTCCAGGCTCGTAGCGATCCTCTGCGGGGATGAATGGAGGTGGCATTACATCTGACAGTGCACACGTCGTGTCACGACAGGAAGGCCGAACGCTTGTCCACGGTCCCGGCTCATCGATAGGCGGCGGTGGCTGTCCATCATTAGTTGAGAGTGTAGGGGAAAAGCTGGGAATCCAAAGTTCATCTGCATAGTCAGTGTCTGGCAAAGAATAGGAAATGTGGTCACAAGCATATTGCTCCGCAATATGCCTTATTCCGTTGGCTAGTTGCCATAGTTGGGAACCGAGAAGGAATGGCTGGCAATCTCCATGCTGATGTAGCTGTGAAACAAGTGACTGGACCTGAAGACAGACGCGCTCTGCAAACCTTGCATCATCCTGCAAAAGACATAGAGAATCAGAGCTGGGTGCGGTCCTGCAGAGAACCATGTTTAGTAAACTTCTATCAGGAAATCATTTCAATGCAGAAAGAGAAACAGATGAGTGAAAGATGTTCATATAATCATATATGGTAAAATGATTTGCAGACAGTGACTATCTGCAACTCCAATCTTGCCAGGTAACATGTCTTATGACCAGGCCATGCTGTGAAAATCATGGCACCTTTAAATGGTCGCACACCGAAGTCTGTGGAATGTTGAAGAAGAGGCTACTATCAGATGATGCTGTGTCCATTTCTGATTCCAGCTTCAATAATCTGTTTCCAGATCCCTTTAGTAGTTCTAGATGGGCACCATTGTTGAATCCCACATCTGCCAGACTCTACTCTGTGGCATCATGTGTTTATGCTTTGAACTGTCTTCAATGCTTTCTCTATCCACTGATCATTACCTGAGCTGTAATGAATGTTACAGAGATATATGCAATCACCGCTAGCAGCATCCTTATCTTTATTGTGATCAGATTTCTATCACACCTCATGCAGCTGAAAAGCATCATCTGCAATAGCAAGGCATCTCATCTATCTGTACTTACTTGACTGTCATCAACTCTTTGATCCTTGAATGTGTTTTGATTTCTTTTGCCACCTCTATTTTGCGCTAAATGTGTTCTGCCTCTGCTTTCCAAGCCTGCCGGCTTTGGACGCTGGTCGTCGATCCGGGACACTGTCGCTAATCAACATGATATTCCTCTTTGCTGGGATGCACCTCAGCTTTGTCTAGCGATTAGCTACAACTTCAACTACATACATCGTTACAACTACCCACGAACGTAGGGGTACATTTGAATCTTGATCCAAGCTATACCAAAGTATTCCTCTATCAGGTTCTTGTATGTTCCTCAGTTCAATACTTGTGGGCTGCTGGATGCATCTTCGCGGAGATGATCAATGGGGTTCCATTGTTTTCAGAAGAACAGTGGACAAATCAGCTCCATGCAATCATCGCACTGCTTGAATACCTACCTGCAGATCTACTGGATGGTATCAGCAGTGGGAATGTGGGTATATAAATATAAGCCGTAATAAAACTCTGAAAGTGTGGGATGGTTGATCTTCTCATTGTGCGATCGCTAGCTAACTATATATAGGGGCAATCACGTGCGGTGGAGGGCCGCCTGGGCAACTAAGTTAGTGCCCAACAGAAAGTTATCTAAGTTAAGTGCGAACAGATGATGCGAAATCTCAAATCTCTGCGAGCATCCCGGGAGAGATCACTAATGGGCCATATTAAAACTGCCAATTTCGAAGGTGAAAAAAAATCATCCTTTTTTTCTCCTATTTCCCTCTTGCATTTAGCAGGTTTCCCCTTATCTGTTATTTAAAGTGCAGGATCGTTGTTTACTAATATATCTTTTCTCATACTCAGCTCTTGATTTGCTGGAACATCTGCTCGACATTGACGCGGAGACGAGATATTCAGCCAATCAAGCACTCCTGCATAAATATGTCTAGTTCTATTACGATCCAACTGACGAACCTGTCCCTGAGCAAGTATGGTCAGTTTTTGATTTAGATTATGTCGAGTGGCCAGTGCATGATTGGAAGACGTTGATGTACGTAATCCGTGCCTAGAGCCTCGGAAATTTGAACACACAATGCTAATATACGCACCGTGTTCGCAACAGCCTCTCTGAAATCGTTTGACCATCACGAGCTTAGAATCGGATACCAACGCTATATGAAGTGTTGATGTCAAATCAATCATCTCACGACTGCACGCGCCTAGGTTGAATTTCTTGGTTTAGCGGAGAGTTAGCGCCGCAGAGAGTCCCTAATGTTTTAGCGCGATGATAATAATAATAATAGTTAATAAACGCCAGTCTGGTTTACTATGTAAATTACGTACCTTTCTTTGGGAGTAAAAGGGAACGTTCATTGTTGAGGGCATGGTGTTTGTTTTGATTCTGGTTGCCTTGTTCCGCGTCTGCAGCTGGGGGTGAGTGGGATGACGCGAAACAAAGCAATTGCCCAGCTTTTGTCTGTTTAGCCACCCTAAACATTTCCATGTCCATAACACATTAATATTCACAATATCCCATACACATCCCCCCCCCCAAACCCACCAGCTCTCACTTAGGCAGCTTGGACGCCAGTGACAATCTTAGGATAGCTACGCCAGCGGCGCTGTTGACATATTATACGTCGATAGTAGGCAGTGAATTTCTTCTTTTTTACTCTTTTTAATAGTTTTGGCTCGGCAGCCTACCCAACCGATCGGTACATAATATTAAGAGATTCTACCACCAAAGCCGGGTATCTGTGTGGTGCCTTCCGGGCCGTCCCGTTCACTAACGCACACCTCAACTTAACCACGAATGGGACGACGCGGAGTGAATTCTTGTCTAATTGCGCAGTGCCACGTATTTCCATACACTTAAAAAAACAAACCTTATCGATCCGGGGACGAAACACTTGCGCTTCGGAGGGAGGTTCTTTTGAAGCAATAGGAACGCTGAGTCACCCTTATCGTTGGGCCATCCCGCACTGAATACATCAGGTTCCAGACAGTGTCTGCCTGGATGGAACACATTGGCATAATAGGGATATCCGGTTTTGCTGGCCTCCATGCTGAGCAGCCTTTGTAATTCATCTCTGATAAACATCCCGCCTCCATATTCTGAAAACACCCGCGTCGACGCAAATTTGTTTTCTCGTACCACCTGATCTAAACGTCTGTCTCACCAAACCAGAACCTTCAACAAGCAGCCCCTTATTGGTGCAACGATCAACTCAAAAAAAAATATGAGCACCACGAGCGGCGCCGGAGGAGGTGGAAATAACTCCTATAAGCTCCCAAGGCCTAAGGATGAAGAACTACTCGAGCAGGCCGCGAGAGAGTCGAAGGAACGCAGACAGAGGGAGAAGAAAGAAAGAGAAAAGCAACAGGCCAACCGAGAATTGATGGAAAAGGCAGGGAGAGATTCTAAGGAGCGCCGACCAGGAGGTGGTGGTGCCACCACCTAAGAATAGGCTTCAAGTTAGTACTCAAGTATTGGTTGCTACGAACCATAAATTCTAAGAGTCCTAGGTTACTCCGATCGTCTCTCCGCTACAACATGATGGCCGTCAAGTGTACAACTTATCGAGAATGTGGAGAGATCTCATAGTGTTGCTGATGATTTCACTTCAAAGATTCACTATAGCTTTACTACAATGCACATTCCTCCTCATAAGCCGCCTTCTGCTCCATCTTCATCCGTACGAATGACTCTAAGCCTCCTCGTACCTTGTCGTCAAGCAAGTCGACATTAGCTTTACCCCCATAATAAATCATGTCTAACTGGCGATAAAAGATGGCATCCACATCCAAGCTCTTTCTAGCTGCGAAATTGAACCAGAACTCTCCACTAGTCCAAGAATTGCGCATTAACTTGGAAATGCGCTGTGCACTGGACTTTCTCCTACACTTCTCAGCTTCTATCTGCTCCAAGGCGTATAGAAACTGTTTCAGTCTAGGTGTATACTGAGCCACAAAATCTTCCATGGTGTAGCCTCGTTCCAGCCACATATCCGGGCCTACCAACAATAGCCACCAGGGTGGATCGTAAGCGAACTGTGCGGGCATAGCGTTTGTGAACTCCAGGTCAAGGACTGCAGTGATCTGGAGGGTTTCACTGTTCACCAGAATGTTGGCAGGTCGGAGGTCATCGCAAAAGAGCTTGAAGGGACCGTTCTCATTGACACAGTTCCTTGCGGCTAGCTGCTTAAAAAGATGGCGCGCAATATATCGCCTCCTAGCATCCTTAGGATCAGTGGCGAGGTTGCGCTGGGTGTGGAGGTGGATCAAATGTTGGTCCGCAAGACTCTTGAAGTATTCATTTGCAGATGCAAAGCGCTCTGTAGGAAACCGGTCAATTGGATAACCCGTGGATGTGGCTAGTTCATTCATATTATATGTCAAGGGCCTTCCAGTGACTGCCCATGTATTTGGGCCTTGAACGACTTCCGATATAGCTCCGATGTGAGTGAAATCGAGGTTGTAAAGTTGAAGCATGAAATCGGCTATCTGACGGTACACAATGTTCAATGTGGTGTCATCAACATCAGGGTTCAGTATTTCCTTTTCTTCCCTGTTCGCAGTCGGCTTCTTCAAGATGTCTGACAAATGTATTCCCTCGACGTATTCCATGATAATAAATGGTCCCAATTGTTGAGGGCTGTCCACAGTTAAACCCCAACTTATCAAACGAGGGAGAGGAATCGTGGTTTGTTGGCGAAGGAATTTCATTACTTGCACCTCTTTCTCCACCTTTTCATCCCGGAAAGCCGTGACCCCAGCTTTAGTAAACCGGATTACAGCATCAGGGCAAGTATCTTTAAATTCAATACGAATGCAGATATTAAAGGAGCCCCGATAATAGCGTACAATCCTTTCGGGATCACCACCCTGGCGACGGTGAGCGACGAAAGTAGCTATTTCATCCATGGAATCCAGGACTCTGTCTTTCCAAGCTATCCATTCTCTTTCACCCTTGTCCTCGGCAATCTCGTCAACAGAAGTCATCGTCACTTGATCACAGCGTATGACGCCCAAGCCTTGGGGCCGATTTGGGTGACGAGGCCTCTGGTTTGCCGTCCAGATTCCTTTCGCACACGGTCAAGGTCTCGTTGACTAAAAAAAAATGATGGAAAAGAAGACGTGGTTGGTTCTGGTGGAGTGGTGGAAGCTGATGAGGTGATGGTAGGGGGTGAAGAAGTCTGTATCTGTATTTATGATCAATGGGAGCGTAGCAGGGCCTCCACTTTTACGTAAGGGCGATTAGCTGAGGCGATGCAAGGTCATAGAATGAACGTTGTTGTGTATTATAAACTAAATACGGAGTAGCCGAGCAACAACGAAATAAGATTGGGGAGCACGTGATCTAGGGTAGCCGTAGTATCCACCTACACCCCCCCATGCTACGGCGCCGCCGAGTTCAAAACACCCGATCCACGCCTGCCCGGCCAAATCATCCATCCCCGTAATCCCCTTACACCCATCCTGGGCTGCAAAAAAAAAAATCAATTAATCTCCGCCAATCCTAACTTCTCAATGAAATCAATGAATGTGGGCTTCGCCAAAGGCTTCGTAAATCCGTCCGCTTTATTGGCAGTAGAATCAATGTGGAGGAGCTCTATCTCATCTTTTTTCAACAAGTTCTCAAAGGATATGGTAGCGGATCTCTATATGCCTTGATCATCTGGTTAGAGACTCCCTCTTTGCAAGATCGATGGCACCCTTATTGTCAACCTGCAGATTTGAGCAGATCTTTCCCTTTCCTTCCAGTAATCCGGCGTCATACAGCATGTCATTGAGCCAGATCAATTCGCACACAGCCTCACTGGCAGCAATATATTCAGCCTGCGCCATCCCAGTGTAAGGTTCCAATCCGACATTGAGTAGTTGCTTCAATTCCGTTGATAAAGATCATCAAGCGCGCAGTGGCCTCACCCTTTGACATCATAAGAATAATCCACCTGTAGTGTGTGGCGTCATCCATAATGCCCATCCAATAATCAGCTCCCCCCTGAGTAGGGAGGTTAGCTTCATCATATAGTGTACAGCCGCCACCCACAAGGTCCATGAAGAATCTCATCGCGGGTTTGACAGTCCTCGTCATCAGTGTGAATGTTGGATGTGCTATTTTTGCCTGTACACAGGTCTTGCAGAATGGCAAAGCTCTGCCACTCTTGATCCTCATTTCTAGACATGGATCTGCTGCTAATTTAGTGATATCCACAGGGTTGAGATGGCCAAGCTTTTGATGTCATTACAACATTATATGTTCAATAATTTTGATGTTCTTTTTAAGCAATGTCAGCAGAGGATCCTCTTTTCCCTCTGTGAGCCGTAGGATATTCGCAGGTTCAAATTCACCATTAGACGTTATGAATCAAATCAAATCTCTAACTGTTGATGCTTTTTCAAGAATGTAGATGTTCTTATCACTCAAATTAACAGTGAAATTGAATATTTTATCAGAAGAGATTAGCAAGATTGAATGAGTGTTTTTGTAGATTAGTTGCTTATATATATAGCTTTGACATATGAGCTTTTCAAAACTTATAAGATTAACTTTCAATTTGAGAATGTAGCAGACATTCTGCAATAGCAGATTCACTTCTTTTACTGATATATCTATCTTTTTTATAATTGTTGCAGAAGTTGTTAATTTGTCAATCATCTTCAATATGACATTAATCTTCTACAGCATTATTAATATGAAATTTTTATAAAATATAGTGTGAGCTATTAATCTGAAGTTCAGAATTCAAATATCTTTATCAGTTTGATCAATAAAATAAATCTTCTTCATCATATAAAATATTTGTTCAATAACATTATAAATCAGTGCAGAATATGTACCATATTTATCTTTATTCTTACCTTCACCACAGTTAATAGAGTGTTTTTCAAAAAATTTCAACCAGCAATCAGTTTGAATGTGGTCAATCTTTTGACAATGATAACACATTTTGACCGTGTTATTATCTTTTTTCTTTAATTTGATGAAATTTTTATTCTTGTTTTCAGAGATTTTCTCCTTCTCTTTATTCTTTTTATTCTTCTTATTGAAATCTTGAGTATTATTTATAGAAGTCTTTTCATTCAAAGTAGAAGATTCATCAACAGCTGGCAATTGTAGAAGAATATTTCAATATAATTTCATGAAATCATCTTCAAACATTCTGATGTTCTCATCTTTCTCTATTGCATTTATTCAATTCTTTATAAAAGAGGATTAATCTTTGCTAACTTCTGTAAGAAGTCTGTTGAAAAATATGAAATCTTCAATGCTATATTCTAAGCAAATATAATCAGTTCTAATTGCGATCAAGTATTTGATAAACATGCAATCAGAACCTTTTGATTTTGATGTCATTTCAATCAATTTTTAAAATAGATGAGTTTTGTGAATAGCAAATCTTTCAGTGAAATTATCTTCTATGTATGTATGTATGTATGTATAGGTTTAACGTCCCGGAGAAAACACGGGCAGCGCCCGTGTTTCAGAAGCCTCCCGAAGGGCATGGAGACGTGCTACGCTGGAGAGATTTCTATGTACACAGAGAGAGAAAACAGAATCCAGGTGGCAACTCTTGAGAAGACTCAGCTCATTGCTTTGAGTATTTAAAGAATATTAGAAATGATTATTTCTCGACAATTAAAAAAGCAAAGACTGATTGTTGGAATAACTTTCTAGAAAATGCTCAGGGAAAAGAGATCTTCAAAGCTTTCAGATATACAAAGTCAAAGACAATGTCTAAGCTACCAATATTAACTTACAATTTTCAGAATGAGGAAATTATAGCTAGTTCGTTTGAAGATAAATGTCAAGCTTTTATGAGAATATTATTTCCATCATCAAATAATTCAACTGAGCTTTGTTCTTTTCAAGAAGATAATGAATATGAACATGATAAGAAATGGAAATCGCCTGACTTAACTGAAGATGAATTAATGACAGCTATTTGTTCATCTTCAAAGGTCACAGCAGCAGGAGCTGATACTATAAATCATTTAATAATTCAAGAGCTTTATTCAGTACTAAAAGATGAGCTCTTTGAATTGTTCTCAAATCTTTTGAAATATGTGTATCATCCTAAGTGCTGGAGGCATGCTGTTGGAGTTATTCTGTCACAACCCAATACAAAACCAATTATTCCTAAATCTTATAGTGTGATATCTCTGCTGAATTGTCTGGGAAAAATTTTGGAAAAGATAATTGCAACTAGACTCTCTTTTCTATGTACTACTACTGATTTATTATATGATGATCAGATGGGAAGTAGAAAGCAAAACTCAGCAATTGATGCAGTTCTCTCTGTAGTTCATGATATTCAACTTGCAAAAAATGAAAAAATGGTTACAACTGCAATGTTTGTTGATATAAAAGGTGCATTTGATTGTGTTTCAGTTTCTCAAATGATCAAAACTTTGATAGAACTGAGAATGCCAAACTCTCTCATTAAGTGGGTTGTCTGTTTCATGTCAAAAAGAACTATTCAGTTGCTTTTTAATGGAATGAAACAAGATATAACAGATATTGAGATAGGAGTTCCTCAGGGTTCCCTAGTCTCACCCATTTTATTTGCTATATTTATCAAGTTTCTGTTTATTGATAGACAAATGGCATTTATAGTGAAAACTCCAAGCTATGTGGATGATTTGGATCTAGTTGTAAGCTCAGAATCAATTGTAAATAATTGCAATTTGATTGAGCAAGCAGCAACTGAAATGCTTGAAAAAGCAAAATCAAAAAACATCGTTTTTGATGTGGATAAAACTGAATTAATTTACTTTTATCCAAATTTCAGAGAAAGGGATACTGAAGTTAAGCTTTTAAATCATTTAGTTAAACCAAAAAATTCAGTTAAATGGCTTGGGGGCTTAGAAGACGTCAAAGTAATAAAATCAGCAGTGGACAGTCAATGCTAGAGCTGATTTTGAAAAGTCTTCAAAATATTCAAAGAAAAATCTCATTCAATTATTCTATTCATCTTCACTGTGTGCCTGCTCTCATAGGTACATATGGCAATGAAATGGCTGATAAAGCTGCAAAAAAAGCAACTGAATTGGAAATCCGCTTTCAAAGAATTGTAACATGGGCTTATATTAAAAGAAAAATAAGAGAATCATGTTTGCAAAAATGGCAAGATATCTGGTTTTTACAATAAAAAAGTGTACATTATTCCAGGTTTGAAACTAAGCCAAAATGGAAAGCTTGTTCAATAAAATATAAAAAGAAACTTTTTACTACAATAATGCAGCTAAAACTTGGACATGGTTATCTTAAATCATATTTAACAAAGATTAGAAATGATTTAAGTGATTTATATTCAGATTGTCAGTTATATAAAAACCCAGAGCATCTTCTTTTACTTTGTATAAAGCATACAAAGTTAAGATTGAGATTGAGAGAGAAGTTTGAATTGACACAGTTAAATTTAAGACTTTTGTTCAATACAAAAACTGGAAATGAATTCTTGATTGAATATTTGAAAGAATCAAATATTGCTACAAGATTTCAATTGAATAGTTTGATCTGATAATGAATTCAATTTTTGTTTTTCTTTTTTCTTTTGTTTCTATGTATTTGCTTTAATTTTTATTCTTGTTTCTATTTTTATTTTATTACTTTTGCTTTGAAATTTATTTCATTTTGAGTATTTTTGATTTTGACTAGTTTTGATTTGTGAATGCTTTCCTTTCTTTTAATAGCTGCTGTTTTTTATTTTATACTTTTTATTTCATTTGTTTTAAATTGAATGTATTGATCTGTTGTCATTCTTTTGACATTCTTTCTTAAATTGAATAGTTTGAATAGTTGTTTGATTCTAGGCTGGAATTCTACTATTGCATGTATTAAATTGACTTTGTATATTAGCTTATTCTTAAGTTGAAAAATCCTAGAGTGTTTCAGGTAGATGTCATAGTCACTGACTGCATACATCTATAATGGAAAAATAATAATAATAATTCACTCCCCCCCTCTACGGCTGACAACCCCCCTCTCCTTGTCAATAATGTCATATGGCGCCCCTCTCCCTCTCAACACTCCATTCATTAGCCATGTCTGTTGACAGCAGGCACAGCTGACAAGTCAGTCAAAATGAAATTGAAATTAATTGATAAGCAAAAGCTTATTAATCTATCAATTTTAGAAATCAGAAAAATGATGATTGATCTTTTATAAGAAGTTTCAGTGCTTCTTTCTCAGAAGTAAAAAGTGTGAAATTATATTGATTGAATAATGAAAACAGAGCTGAATGAGCCGCTGCTGAAAAACAATAGATATATTTTCTGTCAAGAAAATGATGAGAAGTGTTGAGTGTACTCTGAGAAGAGAAAAATTTAGATAATCAAATTTAGAGATTTTTGTTCTCATTACTGAATTGCTGCATGTAAAGATGGACGTAGCATCTTTAAACACAAGCTCAAAGACCTCTGCATATCTTCACTGTCACAGCCACATCAATTGCTGCTGAAAAAGTCATTTTTTTTTTTTTTCATTGAAAAACAATGCTCTGATTGTTTAGATTTCTGTTTTATTTGTACTGCTCTACTTTATGAAGAAAGTTTCAAATAAAACTCTAATAAATAAATAATCTATATAAATGAATGTGTTAGAGGTTCTATGCAGGCATTTTTTATAAGTATCAGTTATAAATGAAAATTAATTGATGTTGAGAAATGCTATCTTCAAAAAAAAATTTATTAGATGTTAATTATATTGATTTTGAATTTTGATAATTGATTGACTCATAAGTTGACAGAACAATGCAGAAGTTCAATTATTAATATATTGATTAGTAAAAATGTAATATATAGTTAATTAATGAGTTAACTAAATTTAGTTATATCAAATAAAGATGTAAAACTATCTAACAAATTATTCATCTATTTTAATTATTTTCCTTCAAAATTGATTCCGATATATTTAATGAATTATTTACAGTATATAAAAATAATGCATTTTCAATGAAGATAGATTCTTACTCTTTATTATCATTGAATTTCTCAGAATAAACTTCAACTTAACACTGATGATCATAACATCAAAATTCAAATTCATTAAAACTGATCATTGCTGAATTTATATTTGATTAAAGTACTCAATCTTTTCTTCAAATTTTCCACTCCAATTGTAAATATATTTAAGGTGCTACGCCCTGCCACACGCAGTGCCACGCCTTCGCTCCATCATACGCGTAGTCACATGACTACGCACAGGGCTTCACCTCCTGCTTGTTTCCGCTTGCACAGCATATTTTAGAGTTACGATGAAAAAGAATAAAAATAGCATGCCCAAGAGCTTCTTCGTACGGCTTCGCCTTACATAAGGAGTCAAACATATGTTTTTTCAGCAGTAAAAGCAAATCTCAAAATGAGATGTAACCATTCTTTAACAGATTTCTAATCATAGAGAAGATCTCTAACTTAGTGACAGCATTTATATATTCCTGAATAAATGAATATTTAAAAGTAGACTTTAAGATCCGCTATAGCTGATGAACTCAGGTATTGAACAGACAGACTCAATCAAATATAAGATAGATATTTTTTATTGAATTTTTATAACACTTCATCTTCAGCTTGCAGCTATCATTAAAATGCTTTACGTCTAAATCAATTGCTTTGAAGGAGCCAGGTTTTCCAGGTCAGTTGACAAGACCTGAGATCATAATCACTTAATGCAGAGAGGGAGATTTGACAGATTGAAGTATTAAGTAATAGTGAAACATCTCAATGGCATAATTATATTGATTAGCATCAAGAAAGAAGATAATCAGAGATGGAATAGAGTACTCAAATAATTCAATGTCATCATATTTAACAGCATAGTGTATCTGAATGAATAACTCGAATTCTTAGAGAAGGCGATACATCATATAGAATTCAATATTTTGAGTGGATTGAGAGATTTAAGAGTCAGTTTCTGTTCAGACATCAAGAGTAAATGCTTTGATGTAAACATCTTCAATAAAACTGAAGACATTGTGATGAATTAAGTTAATATATAATAGTATCAATATCTTCTGAGTGCTTATGATTGACAATCGAATAATCTTGATGCTGTATAACAGCATAAAATAGCGGCAGACTTTAGAATGCAAAGCTCTGAGAAATCATTGATTCAAGAAAATGATATTTGAGATTGGTAGAAGTTATAGAATTTCAGTTCCAATAAATAAAATTGAACTGAATACAATTTCAAGCCTCTTCAAAGACCTCTGCTTCAAAGTGAGTATGAACAATAGTGAAAAGTAGATTCATTTGAATATGAAATCATTCAGAAATAGAATGAAGTCAGTTGCACTATTCAAATATATTTGTAGATTTCAACTGCTCTATGTTAACAAATTGAATAAGCTTCATAGTCAAAACATCTTTATATATCAGAAAAAGACAAGTTAAAAATGCTGTATGATCTTTTGATAAATCAAGATAACTATTAAATATCTTCTCATGAACTCTCATAGTTTCTGCAATAGTGCTCTCATTTTTAAAAATAGCTCTCAGCTGTTGAAAACGCGTTCTATACACAGAAAATATATCATGAACAGACATTTGAGATAGTAAAATATCTGCAGTATTGAAAACTCTTTTAATTCCCTTATCAAGAACCTTTCAAACAGCATCAGAAATAAGACACAAGGTTATTTTCTTTTGAAGTTTATGATCATTGTCTGCCACATCAGATGCATCAATGATTTCTTTCAATGTTAGAAATCTTGTGAAATGATGCATGATCTGAATCAGATCAGATTCTGAAATTACAGAGGAAATAACCACTGCAGCAATAATCACTACAGTCATGTAATCATTATGCTCAATCATTTCATCTTGTACAGTCTCTTTGAAATTCATATTGTTGTAAATTATAACAGCTCAAGAATCTTTGACAAGCTACTGAAATTTCATCCAATGATAAGAATTAGTCAAATAATTGACTCAGAAGTTAACAGAAGTGGAAAGAACATGTCAGAAAAGAATAGAAATTATCAGTTTTTATTAGAAATTTTAAAAATTAGATAAAAATATTAATAAATTAAAAATATTAACTCATACCTTCTTCTGTTTAACAATTTCTGTCATCAATTTATTTCCCATTATATAGCTGAGATAGAGTTCAAAACTGGAAATTATTTCTATCATTCATTGTTTTACTTCTGAGTTATGACAATATGCAGAAAGAATAGAGCTAAAGAAGTTTGAATTCTTCAAAAAATAAAAGTGGTGTATAATATTTATAATAATAAACAGCTATTTGATAGCTGTTATTTCATCTGAAGGCCATTCATAGCTCCTTTAATTTGCACATTTATTTTTTAGAACAGAAGTAAGCAGCTTAAATCAGATTGATGTATCAGTTCAAATGATCTCAAAAGTAGTCTGAAAATCAATGGTATCAAGATCAACACCATGATTGAATTTTATAAAATATGAAGTATTGATAAGATGTTTCAGCTCTTATTTAAATAAAACAATATAATGATGATGATTATAAAATGCTTCTGACTTTAAAAGTGTTGAATATAGTGCATTTCACTGCTTTACAAAAATACAATATCATTTATGAGTTAAGATATCAGAACTTTAAATTCAAACATTTATAAAAACTTTCATTTCTTAATCATTTTACTGTAATGCTTTAACAATATGAGATAATTTTGAATATTTTTTCTGCTGATTATGAGGCATAGTAGACAGGTGCTGTGGGCCATAGATGTTTGATTGTGAATAAACTGACAAAGTATTGATATTAATGATTTCAAATTTTGAAGAAGTATCAATAAATTTAAGATCTGTTAAATCACTCTCTGATATTTCATATCTATCATCTAGATCATTGAGAGAGTGTAGTGATTGTTGAGAGAATTCATTTTTAAATGATAAAAGATATTGATTGAACCACATCTGATGTTGGATGTCTTGAGATTCAAAAGACACAGTGGTATGATGAGAAGAGATAACAAGTTGCAAAATAGCAGAAATGATAGTAAAATGATTAAAAATTTAAAAAATACTGATTTGATGATGATCAAATAAATATTTAAAATAGATGTATAATTCTGAAGTCAATTGAATATTTTGTATGAGCAGATTTGATTTTTCACAGATGATGGAACTGTTTCTTTTCAAACTCTCTATGAGATATTATGTTGTGAGCACATGTGGAGTAATTGATTGGTTCAGAAGTTAGCAGAACTTGGCAGAAGTCTAAAAAAGTTTAATTGATTGTGCTAATCTGAAAATATTGAGAAAAGAGGCTGAGCATGCTGAGATAACCGAACAGGTAAAAAGATTGGGGAGCACGTGATCTAGAGTAGCCGTAGTATCCACCTAGTTACACAAGGCACATGAGGGATTACTCATGAATCAATAACTAGTTAGCGTTGCTCATGGTATGGTGACTAAGAGTCATTTTCTCATTTAACTAGTTAATTAATGTTGGGGGGATTGGATTGGGTGATTCGTACCCTCTATACCACCACGGCGCTGGTGGTGATTGAGCTCTTTATAATATCGCGGAGACTTAGGTGGTTAAAGTCGTGCTTCTTTGTGCCTCAACATAACCGGCTCAACCAGCTTTGTTGTTTGATTCTTGAGATCAGTGTAAAGCTTTATCATTAAATCATAGATCCAGTTTCAATCCATTGCCATCGCGTATTACTTCATGTGTTAGGATTAATAGTATGCAGAGTAACAAGTCTTGTAAGAATAATAGGTTCCCTTGGGTATTGCCCACAGTCTAACTAAACTAGCTTTGCTGGAAAAACAAATTTCTAGTCTTCAGTAGGCCTTCAGTATCCCGGTCAGCTGTCCGTGCTTTCTCCTCGACCCAGTCCCGAGATTACTGTTAACAATAACTCCATGCGTCTGATTACTCATGATTAAGCATATCCCCGATCGTGTTGCTCTCCTTCAGAATCTGGCGGGCCCTTTTGGTGTCAACTCCCATGTCCTCCTGGACCAACATCTCCAGTAGCTCAGGCACCAAGACCTCCTGGGCATAGACAACTGTACCATACTTCGAAGCAAGGCTATCGGTCCCGGCCAGGGAGTCGATATCACGTGCAAAATGACGCACGACATGCTCTGAGCTGGGGGTGGGGGGGAGGGGAGGTCAGTAAAGACGTTTCTTGGCGAGCCCGCGGAATGGGCCACACTCACAGAATCACATGGCCTCTCAGGCCACAGTATCCGGTCCCGTGCAGGATATTCTTGGAGAGGACCTTCCTGCCGTGCTTCCGCACTTTCTTGTGCAACGCACTCTTGTAGCAGGAGCAGTATTTGGGATCGTCAAGGATGCGGCGGAGGCGAGGATGGAATTGAACCAGGCGATCGTCAAGGCGGTCCCACGCGATGGAGGGATAGCGACGTCGTGTGTGTTCTTTGCGAAGACACACCCTCCAGAAGCGATATTTTGAAACGCCACTTTCAAAAATGCTCATTGCGTCGGGGTAATCCAACTGGAGTCATTCACTTATCGAATCCGCGCGCGCATTTGAAGAAGGCTCAGGCTGCGGGCATTGCCCCAAAACCAGTTTCAGAAGATGTCAGTAGCTCCGTCCCGACTTCCAATGGCATTGCAACATTTGGCGAAGGGCCCATAAATGGGGTTGCAATGGCTCTTTGTCGGCGCTCTCAATATATGGAAGAGCAGCCTCTTGGTTATCCAATGCAACCTGTTGGCGGGTTGAGCCTTGGCCAGGTCGACTATGAATACCCTAGAGAAGTTCCTGGATTGGCCCTGACGGCTATATCCAGCCAATGGTGAAGATAGTCTGGAAGAATTCCGGCCGCGGTTTGAGTGTGTGTTTTGGAGGAAGATGCGGGTTTGTTCTAGGGTTGGGTAACTGGGGCCATTCCGCTCTCGCAAGCAAAAGTACTTTGTAGGGAATCGTTCTACCTTACCCCTGGTTTGTGATGGGATTTGGGGGGGGGCATCAACTGTTGATTTCTCTTTTGTATTGATATCCTACCTGGCTTATATCGTATATATATATTTTTTGTTTACCTGCAGCGGTGAAAGTTCGAACTGTGGCCAGGTTGCTAGTTGCTCCTTTCGCGCACTGGAATTTTGTTCAACAGTTGGAAGGACCTGGATAGAGGCAGATCACTTTGACCCGATTCTAGGAAAATGTATGCAGCCGCCACACAGGGGTGTGGCAGGGCTTCGCCGCTTGGGGAAATTTGTTCCCATGTATGGAGTTTGGTCCGAGTAGCGTATAAGAAGGCAAAAATGCCCTTCAAGCAAACCGTTCAAGAGGAATCTCATTGCAGTCGAGGTCACATCCCTAATTTTTCACATATCAGCGCTTTTCTGAACAATCCCTGGCCTGTTGGAAACCGGTGAACGTGACCGTGTACATAAATATTTATATGGATTAAATTATAAAGTCAGTAATTTTACACTGCACATATGGTGCACTAGAGCTCTAGACCTACTCAGTAGTCGCCGAAAATGAGGGGACGAACATAGCTTTGCTTCAAGGCTCTGCTGTCATGATGCGCTTGATAATTCAGTTATCCTGTTCCTCCCAAATAAACACTTCCCCACGAGCATCCTTGGCCCACCATTGCTGGTGACATTGTTATGAGGAACTGCCACCAAGGGTGAATTGGATAGCTTAACCCTGGGAGTGACACCGACCAATGAAATTGTTCTAGTCATCAGTCTCTCTCCTAAGCTACTCTCAGCGGTTCCTATTGGACCACATTCGCTATGGCCCACGGATTCATGTAACGTCTCCGACCAAATACCCATTTGGTCTACTCCTACCCTATTACGTGGATCTAGCAGACACAAGAAATTGTTCGGCCCGACATTGGACCCGAACTAGCAACGGCTAGTTCACAAACCCAGCAATGTATTGATTAATTGACATCAAGCTTTGGAAAGCTTCGCGTGTCTTCCGCCTGTTATCCCCATTCGCCATGCCGAGAACACGCCGTCTACTCCGTGAGGAAATCACGTACTCCGCCGCGAAGGGACGCGAGGTCAACATCCTCCATCGACTAGGCTACTATGACAAAGAAACCAGCTTCTTCAACCAGCTAAATGACAACCGCGATTGGATTAAGTCCGTTGTAGCTCATCACCTAGGACTAGGTGCAAGATCAGTCCACTTGTGTCGCGTGGCCGAAGTTGGGGACTGGTTCCATGGAAGCTTCAACGTCTGTGTTCTAGTCACTATTGAAGACAAGACCTGGAAACGGAAGAAATAGCGAGGGCGTCATGTTCTTCTTCGACTCCCTCTTCCCTATCGTATCGGGAAAGCCTTTCGATCTGGAAATGGCGATGAGAAAGTCCGTTGTGAAGCTGGGACCTATGCATGGCTACAAGAAAATTGTCCAGATGTGCCAATTCCGCACATGTATGGTTTTGCTATGTCTACAGGCGAAACTGTACGTTCTCTCACTGCATTCTATTCGAGTGTTGACTATCTGACCTAGTATAGTTCACGCGACTCGAGCATCTACCCTTCCTATCCCGATGTTTTCAGTCCATCCGCCGCCGATTGCTCTCGTGGTTGAGTTTTCCAGTTCCTTCCTACTATGTCCGTCACCAAGGAGCCCACAATGCGATCGGTTCTGGCTATCTTGTAATCGAATATATCGAAGAAACCCAGGGAAGGATGCTCTCAAGCACATGGTTCGAGAATAATCAGCATGACGACAAGCTGCGTACCAATTTCTTTCATGATCTGGCTCGCATTTTGCTAAGCATCAGTCGAATACCATTACCGCAGATCGGCTCCTTTATTATTGATGATGCTGGATTTCTGCGTTTAGCCAATCGGCCATTGTCAGTCGAGATGGCAGAACTTGAGAACGACGAAATTCCAACTCACATACCTCGCGATTATACTTACTCCACGACTGACTCTTATGTGGTGGACACACTTGCTTTTCATGACAGCCGCCTGCAGAACCAGCCAAATGCAGTAAAGAGTCTTAGCGATACTATTTCTCAAATGGCCGCCCTGACAGCCATGCGAACCGTCTTTCCACTGTTTCTTCGGCGAGATCTCCGCCGCGGCCCTTTTGTTTTTCACTTGACTGATCTTCATCAGAGTAATATCTTGGTTGATGAAGACTGGCATATCACATGTCTAATTGATCTGGAGTGGGCTTGCTCTCATCCAGTTGAGATGATTGCACCTCCCTACTGGCTGTCAGGCAAGCGGGTGGACGAAGTAGACCCAGAGAATTACGATGCAACTCGAAAAGAGTTTATGAATATTCTGGCTGCTGAAGAGACACGAATGCAGGACTGTGTTGCCAACAAAAAAGCCATACCAAAACTGTCTGATGTCATGAACCGCTCCTGGAATACTGGCACATTTTGGTATACACTGGCACTTTCTAGCCCTACGGGTCTCCACAATCTCTTTTATGACAGGATCAAGCCTATATTTTTCAAGCATTCTGTTGATGATTTTATATCAATTATGCTTTTTTACTGGGCAAAAGACGGACCGCTCCTGGCGTATCGCAAAGTGTCAGATAAGGAAAAGTATGACATCCAGCTTCAACAAGCATTCGAAAACCCCTGATAGGACCTATGCATCTTCACATTCAATCTCCTTATTTGCCGTCTCACTAGTTATTATTCCCTTTCTTTTCCTTTACTTTCACCTTCCTTCCTGTCTCCACTACTATTATCTTTCTCTTTCCCGAAGAAGTCCGCGACTGCATCACCAAGACGATTCATAGCACTCTCGGCTTGATTCTCCCTTCTCGTATTCTTATATGCATCAGCGGAAGAGGTGAGCAGTTGAAGTGTCTTGACATCCGCTTTGAATCCCACAGTCGCTTCTTTGCTCTCGGATTCAACCTTACAACTACCCACGAACGTAGGGGTACATTTGAATTTTCCACTTTTCCAACTGTTTTTCGTATAATTTTAACCCTCCAACCCGTTCAATATCATCGCACGCCCTCTGCGATCTCTCTACGTGTGTGTACTGCACAGGTTGAGTGGTCATGGAGCCCTCAACGCCCTCCCGTCCGCCCAAGGACATCGACACGGCCTACACCAGGCCACTGGAGCCGGAGTCACCGGCCAATTTTGTCGCTGGAAAGGCTGGCAAGAGGCAGAGGAAGACTGTCACAATGCCTCCCCCAGTCCTCAAAGGAGCCAGCGACAGCATCCCCACGGCCACCTCTCGGCTGCAGAAGCAGTTTGAGGAGGCTCAGCAGCAACAGAACCTGCAGCAGAAGGCCCTCATCAGGTTGGCGAAGACTCTGGACAGCTGGGTTGAGGAGGAGAAGCAGTCAGTCAGTCAGAACTTTGCCCGAATCTTCTGTGAGAGGTTTGTCAAGTATGTGACAGCAGATCTGAGTGCAGCATCAATTCTGAGAGGGGGTGCTGCCCCGGATACTCATCCGCAGCCAAATGCAGCAAAGACAGCTGCGAGGGAGCCGACTACCTGGGCGGGTGTTGCTCAGAGGGGGAAAAACTCTGCCCTCCCTGGGGTTGCCCCTGCCAAGACTGCGGCTTCCTCAGCAGGCAGGGCTAGTGGAGCTAGCCTGCAGCCCAAAAGCGCCAGTCAGCCAGGGGGCCCCACAGGGGGCACAAAACCGCAGGAGGACCCACGAGTCCTCGTCACCCTCCAGCCAGAGAAACGGGTCGCCCGGCTACAGCCATATGCTGTGCGGCAGGCAATCGCTGCAAACATTCAGGGGGTGGGGGATGTGGCCAATGTGCCGAAGGTGGAGCCCACCAGGACAGGTTGGGCGATCACACCAAGCAACAGAGGCATACGCGACGCTCTGACCACTGAGAAGGCAGTGGCTACTCTCTGTGAAGTCCTTGGCGCCATGGAGATCCGGCTACCAGAGCGGTGGTACAATTATGCTGTCCCAGGGGTCCCAGAATCTGTCCAGGACTGGGAAGGGGCAAGAATCCCCACAGACAAGATGATTGAGGGAGAGGTTCTGGCTCAGGCAAAGGTAAAGCCAGTGAGCTGTCGACCCTCGCGTCATGGGGTGAACCCCAAGACAGGGAAGATTACATGGATTGTCTCCTTCCTTGCCCCGGTAAAAGGCTTCTCACTCTTCAATGCCAGTGAGAGGGCCAGGCTGATTGAGAAAAGGCCTTTGGCAGTGAGACATAACCCAGGATGCCAGGGGTTCTGCCACCCACCAAAGTGTGCGCGACTGGCAAGATGCTCCAACTGCAGTGAGCCCACAAGCCAGCATGAGGGGCCAACAGGCGCAGAGTGCAAGAGAGCGCCAAGATGTGCCAACTGCTGCCAACCCTACCCAGCTGGGCATCAGCACTGCCCTGCCGCACCCAGGCGCGTGAATGGCACCCTCAGGCGCCTAACTCAAAAAGAGCTAGCAGCTGTTCGCCGCCTTGGCGACAGGTGCCACAGGGATGCTCAGGAGCGGCAACCGCCGCCAGCACAGCCAGCACCAATGGTCGCAGTGGTGGTGTGTTAGTGGTACTACGGCTACCCTATCACGTGCCCCCCAACATATTGTGTTGCTCTCGCTCAGTTAGTTTTAGTAATGACAACAACGTTATCCTCCCACAGGTTATGGCCCTTAGAAGCAACAGAACCGCTGAAATAACGTGCTAACAACGTCTCCACGCATCGTTAAAAGCGTGCCTAGACGATTTAAACCCCATGGTTAATTTGAGATCGGGTGGAACGCCTGATTTGACGAAAGAATACGTGACAACGCGTAGAAGAAGAAATCCCCAAACGCCAGAGGCACAACAGGAATCGAACGCAGGTTTACCAACGCCTGCAACCAACAAGGTGACTGCCCCGGGGGCATTTGAACCTGACGACACAATCGAAGAGGAATCGAACGAGTCGAATATCGAATACGAAGACCCGGTTAACGACAACGAAATGTCAGATAACGCGGGTGGCCCTAGTAGCCATGATGTGAGCGAAGAAACTCGCATGAGACTGGAGATCGCGAGACTCCAACATGAAGTCCAACAAATGAGAACTGGTAGGGGTCAGGCCTCTACAAGTGATGAGAACATCAGTGCAGATCTAGCAAACTATCTGCAGAGGAAAGGCAGAACGTCTGCTATCGTGAAAATCCTTAATGAGTTCCGTGATCAAGTGAGACCCATAAGGAAGCCAGTTGTACTGACCGGATCTGGGAACTACCCCATGTGGAAAGAAGAGATCCTCCTCGCAGCGAGGCAATCTGAAACCGATGACATCCTTGATGAGAAGCAAATAGGCCTGATGATAACGCCAGCACTGATATGCAGCGATTTTGGAAAGAACGCAACATGTGGCTATACAACTACATGTGGTCATCAGTTGCCCCACAGGCAAAATCTCATTTTACTATACCCAAGGATTGCGAATTATCTGCGTATTCTCTATGGTCTATCATAGAGGACAATTTCGCTGAAAGGCCTGCTGTCCTAAGGACAAGGTTATACAAGGAGATGACAAGCATGACAGCCAAGTCAAAAGGCTCTGATCGCGCGTTTATCGAACGCTTGATCGCCATAAGGACTGACTATATCCGCCTAGGATATAGGGTCGAAGATTTCATGTTTTTTGACTGCTTACTTACTGGGGTAAGCAAAGGGTGGGCCTCGTTCATTAAGAACCGTATGGACCAAATTGAGAAAGATAACGCCCAACCCTTAGAGAGTGATTTCATGGCCCTTTGCCGCGATATCCTCTTGCGGCTTCCGACAACTGATGAATCCAATGCTGACACGTCTAGGAACCCTACCAACAACGCGCAGGACTCCAAATCCGACAAGAAGGATAAGAAGGGCAAGGATAAGGATAAGGAGAAGGAGAAGGACCCCAAATCTGACAAGAAGGGCAGTGAGACACGGACCTGCTTCCATTGCCAGAAGACCGGTCATATCCAGAACGATTGCTGGAAGAAATACCCAGAGAAGCGTCCGTCCAATCCCAACAACGCCAATAAGGATAAGGACAAGGGTGATACCAATGCTGGCACTGCTCCTGTCCATAACGTCGTGGAACAAGTATTCTGTATGACGGACAAGGCCTACATGAGCAGCGAAAGACCCACGAGAGATACCTGGATTCTAGACTCGGGTGCGGGTGCCCACGCAACACCTCATAAAGATCTTGTCGTGGCAAAGCCCCAAAAATATACTGTCAAGTTGGAAATGGCAGATGGAACGATAGTGCCTGCCGCAGCGATAGGCGACACGAAGATCACCGTTGAAGGGGCGGACATGCTACTAACTGGCGTCCGCTACGTCCCGAAATTAGAAGTGAACCTCATGAGCATGGGTAAGCTCGTACGCCAGGGCTTTACCTTCAAGCAGTTGGCATATGGAAGCAACCACGCCGTGCTCTTTATGTCCCCAGATAGAACGTTCTCCTTCACGGCGAAGTTGAACGACAATGATATCTACGAGGTGGAGAAGCCGCCTACCTTCAAGGATCTAATTCGATTCGCCCTGTCCAACGGCAAATTTGAACCTGTCAACGCGATGGCGGACGACAGGACTACTGACGCGATACTGGCGCTGCCCAACAACGACATAAAGGTTATAGAACTAACAATGACACAGTGGCACCAAAAATTAGGGCATCTAAATCCCGCGGATATCGCTAGAATGGCAGCAGATCCACGCCTAGGAATGAGAATCATCGGCCAACGAGCTTTACCGTTTTGCAAAGTCTGTGTCCAAGCAAAGATGACACGTCCAACCTTTGCGCCCATGACGCGAGCTACCAAGCCGGCGATGAGACTCTTCATCGACCTAGCAGGGGGTGGAAAAACGCTTTTTGACGGGAACGACCTACCCACTAGGGGGGGTGCTAGCTACTGGCTAGGGATAACAGATGACGCTACGAGATACCGATGGGCAATCTTGATGATGTCGAAGGGTGAGTCTACCGCGAGATTAATGAACTTCATCACAGGCATTGAGGCAACTACGCAACGCCGTGTAGGCACCCTACACTGGGATGGTGGCAGCGAGTTTAAAGGCCAAGATCTGAAGGCCTACTGCCAGAGCAGAGGAATTGCGTATGAAACGACTACGCCTGATACGCCGCAATCGAACGGCCCTGCTGAACGCGCCAACAGGATTGTTGCAGAAAAGACAAGAAGCCTTCTATTTGATAGCGGACTAGCTAAGGAATTGTGGGGTGAGGCGATGCAAGCCGCGATCATGATGATCAACACGTCCCCAACGTCAACTAAGATATACGGATGCAAGCAAGTAGTTCCGCTTACGCCATTTGAGGCATGGACTGGGGTGCAACCTACTGCCCATTGGATACGCAGGTGGGGGTGCAAGGTCTACAAGAAGAACCTAAAGGTTACCAATAAGCTCGCGGATAGGACTGACGGCAAGGAATGGCAGCTAGTTGGCTACCAAGGACTGCACCAATATCGTATCTGGGACCCAATTGGCCGTCGCCTTGAAATCGCGCGAGATGTCGTATTCGACGAAGGACTAGACAAGGGTGAAACCACGCCTGCGAACGTGGTGAGGCAATCGAGCGAATTACCAGAAGAATTGGACGTACTAGATGCTGCTGATGGGTGGCAACACTGCCTCCTGCGACACCTAGCAAAGGTGAAACCTGACGTTTTGAAGATGATTGCCAATGGGGATCTTGAAGGTGCGATAGATCCAACATACCTTCTAGATAATGAGACAGAACTTGTCGAGAATGATGAACCAGAAGACCCTGCCAATGAGGACGATCCTGTCCTGAGCACCCTAACTGACCGCCCAACTACCGTGGCGGAAGCCAAAAGGAGCCCTGATTGGGACTACTGGTATGAGGCGATGAAGAAAGAGGTCAGCATGTTTGAGAACAAGCAGACATATATTGTCGTTGAGAAGACCCCAGGCATGGATATCTTAACTGGTAAATGGGTGTTTGATCGCAAGTTGAACAATAAGGGAGAAACAATCCGGTTTAGAGCTCGCTGGGTGGTTAGGGGATTCCTCCAACAACAAGGAGTCCACTATACAAAGTCGTACGCCGCGGTGGTATCAGGACCCACGTCACGGAGCTTATTCGCAATCTCAACGGCAAAGGGGTGGAAGGCAAAGGCGATCGACTACGTCTCCGCGTTCTTGAACGGCATACTACCGCAGCACGAGATGGTATATATGCAACTGCCTACAGGGATTAAGCACGGCAGGGGGGGCCTGGTTGGCCTGCTCCGCCAGAGCCTTTACGGGATGAAGCAAGCAGCGAGGGTGTGGTATTTCCTTGCGACGGAACACCTCACCACTCTAGGATTCAAAATCTCGCCGTACGATGGCGGATTCTTATATCACCCTATTCGCAAGATCTACCTGACATTGCACGTCGATGACTGTCGGGTAACGGGACCCCAAGAGCAGCAAATTAGACTGGGATATTGGCAGAGATTGCTAAAAGGTTTGAGACAAAGGATGTCGAAGAGAACAAGCCCTACCTTGGAATGGAAGTCAAACGTCAAATGAACGGCGACCTAGCGGTTACCCAGAACCGTTATATCGATGAGATCCTTGAGGATTTTGGAATGGACAAGGTCAACCCGGCCAGCACGCCGATGGCGGCCGGCATACGCCTAGAATTCTCACCAGATGAAGATAGCGGGTTAGATGACGATTTTACTGCTACTAGATATCGTCAAGGCTTAGGATCGCTGCAGTATTTGGTGTCAAGCAGCAGACCAGATCTGGCATTCGCGGTCAACTACCTCTCACGTTTCAACTCGCGTCCGCTACAAGGAATGCTGGGCAGCATTAAAACACGTCCTACGCTACGTCAAGAAAACGAAGGATCACGGAATCCTATACAAGAAGGAGATGATTGGGGGACTCAGTCCTGTCGCGTACAGCGACTCAGATTGGGCAGGGGCAGACCCCCAATACAAGTCAACTACAGGTTACATTATCCTGCTAAACGGATCACCAATCTCGTGGCGGTCGCAACGGCAGACCTCAGTTGCAAAATCAACCACTGAGGCGGAGTATATCGCGGCAAGTGAGGCAGCGTGCGAAGTGATCTGGCTGAATGACATGTTATTTGATGCTGGATTAGTAGAAGGGAAAGCGAAGGTATGCTCGCACCTGCGAGTTGACAACAAGGGCGCGATAGATTCTAGCAAAAGGGGAGTCCTTGACAAGGAGGTCACGTAACATCGAGATCAGATTAACCATATCCTTCGCGATCTGGTTGAAAAAGGCGAAATCATGATGGAACACGTTGGTTCTACGGCCAATATAGCTGACGGCCTCACCAAGCCACTGGCAAGGCCTGCCTTCGAAGAATTTGTTAAGAGGATTGGCTTAATGGAAATTGGCAAGAAGGGGTGTAAGGTAATGATGATACGGGAGTTTACAGATTTTGCTTGTGTTATCCTGTTTTTTACGGTTATTGCCATACGGGAGCCTATTCCCAAAGAGGAAATCAGGGTCTGATTCTTGTAATTAATTATTATTGCGTTTTTAGAAGAATTGAGCAAGGGGGGGGCCCCCGGGCGGCAGAGCTTTGGCGGCGCCGTAGCACGGGGGGGTGTTAGTGGTACTACGGCTACCCTATCACGTGCCCCCCAACATATTGTGTTGCTCTCGCGTAGTTAGTTTTAGTAATGACAACAACGTTATCCTCCCACATGGTGCCTACACCAACCGCTCAGTCAACCCAGTCAACACAGCCCGCTGGGCTAGCACCCCGCAAGCGGGCGGCGACTCAGAGTTCCATCAGTGAGGAGGGTGCCACCTGGCAGATGGCCCGCACCAGGCGACGCTCAGCTCGCACAGCAGTGCGGCAGCACAGCCAAGCAGCTAAAGAACAGTCTGACTCCAGCATGCAGATGGCAGGTCTGGAGGTCTTCAACCTCATCCCGCAGGTGGACTTCGGCAGCAGCTCACCAAGTGACTCCTCATGCTAGGACACCAACACCAGCGACGCGGCTGGCGCCGCAGGAACAACCAGCAGGAAAATCGCCCCCTGCAGGTCTTCTGGGCAAATACGGCCAGGGCAGCCCCCTGTCACACAGCAGCTCTGCAGCTTGCTTTCGAGCAAGGGCTGTGAAGTGGTCTGTATACAGGAGCCCATACACACACCCTGGCACCAAGACTTCTAACCACCCAGCCGTATGAGTGCTTTGCGCCTATAGACCGCTGGGATGACACTAACCCGGAGCAGCGAGAGGAGGAGAGGCCCCGGGTCATGACATATGTACGCAAGGGCTCAAAGACAAGGGCACAGCAACACCGGTCTGTGCAAAGCAGGGATCTGCTATGGGTCAGTGTAAATGGCTGCCACATTCTCAATGTGTACAGACAGCCTGGGACAGACGCAGTCATGGACTATCTGACCAATCTGAGCCCACCAGCCCGCTGTCTGATAGGTGGGGATATCAACGTACGGCATGATGCCTTTGAACCAGGGGCAGTGAATCTGCACCGGGGCGGGGAGCTTGTCCAATGGGCCAGTGAACATGGGATGGACTTTGTGGGAGAGATAGGGGTTCCAATTCATGCAGCAGGTCATGTGATTGATCTCACCTTCTCCAATGTGGCCTTTGCTTCCACTACAGTGCGTCAAGATCTACACTGCGGCTCAGATCACCAGTCTATGATCACTATGCTGCCAACAACACCTCAAACACAGCTGAGTGATGCTCGGATCAAGATCACAGACTCTCAGCTGGAGCCCTTTGCAGATCTTGTCAGAGGTCTCATGGTGGACATGCCTTGCCCAGAGGGGGTTGGAAATGTGGCACAGCTTGATGATCTGGCCCAGCGCTTCACTCAGAGTCTTCTGGCTGCAGCTCAGGCAGTCAGTAAGCCAGCTCAACAAGGGCGGACCACAGCCCCCTGGTGGACAGCAGACTGCCGAAGAGCGCACCGAGAGCTCACCTCTCACCAGACAGAGGCCGCGAAGCACCAGTTCAAGGATGCAGTGCGCAAGGCCAAGCGTGCATACTGGAGGCAGGTGATCAATGAGGCCAGAGATGGTAGAGACCTGTACCGGGTGGTGGCATGGCATAAGCTGGAACCCAACCTCAGAGCACCCCCTCTGGTGATTGGGGATCAGGTCATAGAAGAGACAGCCGCCAAAGCTGAGGCACTTCAACAAGCAATTCTGAAGCGATACAACTCAGCTGATGATCTGGAGTATGACCCACTGGATGATGAGCACTGGAGCGGCATGGGGAACCTGCCCTGGAACCCCCGGATTGAGATGGAGGAGATGGAGCGCAACACCATTGGGGTACAGAGCACCTCCCCAGGCACGGATGGAATCACAGTGCGGATGCTCAAAGCATGCTGGCAGCATGTGTCCTTCTTTATACAGCAGCTATACAACTGCTGCCTCCGGCTCTGCCACTTCCCACGAGCCTGGAAACTGGCAGAGGTGGCAATGATACCCAAGGTGGGTAAGAGAGATAGAAGCTCAGTCCGCTCCTGGAGGCCCATTGCCCTGCTTTCAGTAATCTCCAAAGGGCTGGAACGCATCATTGCAAGGCGACTGGCGTACACGGCACTCATTCACGGCATAGTCAGCCCACAGCATGGGGGGGCGCTGCCCAGACGATCTGCAATGGACCTGGTAGCTGCTTTCACTCATGAGGTGGAGGCAGCCTTCGCACAAAACAAAGAAGTGTCCATGGTCACAATGGATGTGCAGGGTGCCTTTGATGCTGTGCTGCGCAGGCGGCTGCTTCAGCGGATGGCGCAGCAGGGGTGGCCACGCGAGCTGCTGCAGCTCATTGACAGTTTCCTCACTGAACGCAGAGCTCAGGTCCGGCTGGAGGGGACCACCACAGCAGCACATCAGATGCAATGTGGCACGCCACAGGGGTCTCCTTTGTCACCAATACTGTTCCTTCTGTACCTGGCAGAGCTGCTGTGGCAAAACTCGGAGTTGCGCTTTGGCTATGCGGATGATCTGAACATCTGGCGGGCGACTCACTCACTTGACAACAATGCCACCCTTCTCAGACAGGATATACAGAGTATTCTGAGGTGGGGGGAGATAAACAAGGTGGCCTTCGCACCAGAGAAACTTGAGATGATCCATCTTACAAGAAAGCGACACAATGAGGCACCAGCAGTAGTTGTGTCTGAGGATCTCACTGTTCACCCTGTTACTGCCCAAGCTGGACAGGAGCCAGCACTTCGCTGGCTGGGTGTACACTTCGACAGAAGGCTCACCTGGAGACCACATGTCTCCACCCGGGCAAAGAAGGCAAGGGCCGTGGCCCAGCACATCCGGAGTCTGGGAAAGACCAGAGACGGGCCCCCAGCAGACGCTCTGCGGAAGGCGGTCACCACCTGCGTGGTTCCCTCACTGCTCTATGGCACAGAGGCCTGGTACGGCGGCCGCACGCAGCCAGCAAGGCACACGGGCAGGAGTGGGGAGGTTAGCTCCCGCCTAGGATGGCATGTGGGGACAGTTGAGAAGGTGCTTACTATGGCAGCCAGAGGGGTCCTCCCAGTTTTCCGTACAACGCCCATCGCTGCCCTATACCGGGATGCTGGGCTCCCATCAGCAATGGTAGCTCTGGAGGAGGCCAAAATTCGATTCGCGACAAGGCTTCAGGTGGTGGATGAGAAGCACCCACTGGCTTCACGGATAGCACCTCCAATGATCACACGAGGAAGAGGGGCTGGAACCCGGCAGCGCTCAAAGACCAAGATCCAGCGGTTGGGGGCGCTGCTACCTGCAGTCAATAGACCCACACTTGCCATCCCACACTACTCAGAGGGATGCGGGACAGACCCCACAGAGGGTGTAGACAAAAAGAGTGCTACTCAGGCATTCAAGAAATGGTGGAGAAGTCAACCCTCAACAGATCTATATGTTTTCTCAGATGGATCAGAACGGAACCTTGACAACAGCAGGCAGGTGGGCTATGGCTTCATAGTCTATCAGGGAAATAAACAGCTGGCCAGCTTCTCAGCTGCGCTGAGCCCTATGTCACATGTCTTCGACGCTGAGGCAGTTGGTGCCTGCCGGGCATTGGAGTGCGCCGTGAAGCTCCTACCTTGTGTCACAGAGGACAGCAGCAACCCTCAGATCTGGCTCTGCCTCGACAACACCTCAGTCATCTGGGGCATACGGGGCAGTGCAGCAGCCTCCTCAAACTGGGCCTACAACCGCTGCCATGAGCTCCTCAGACAGCACAATGTTGGCCTGAAGTGGGCTCCTGGGCATATGGGGATAGAGGGCAATGAGGAAGCAGACCGCTTGGCTAAGCGGGCAGTCTCATCCACTGCAGCCCCAGCCTATGGTCTCGAGGCCACACCCACAGTCAGTGGGGTCCGCACAGTGGCCAAGCAGCTCAGCCAAGAGGCAAGGCGAAAGTGGTGGAGTGGAGCCTGTGGCAAGCTCTCTGACTGGTACCGGGGCTGGAGTTTCAGCAGGCCGACTGTGGAGTACCAAGTGAAGGCCCCTCCGGAGCTCACCATGCCACGGCATGCCCTTCACCGCTGGCTCGCACTCCGCTCCTCTCATGGGGACTTCTCCTGGTACCACAGGCGTTTCCAGCATGCAGATGCGAGGCTCACCTGTGTCTGTGGACACAACAAGAGCCCAGAACATTTGGTGCTCTGTCGACACTCACAGAGGCACTTTCTTCACTGGCCCAAGAGGCCAGCAGCACGGCCACACAACCGGGCGACAGCTGTTGCCTATCTAGGGTCTCTGACCCCTACAGACTTTGTAGAACTGCTGGACTGCACGCAGTTCTACACACGGTACTGCACAAGGTAACGCAGCCGGCTGGCTGCAAACCATCTGACAACCCCCGCAGCAGTTCCACGAGGCCGGCCTGCTGAGTACACCCACGGTAGCTAGTGCAACTGCCAGGGACATCACAGTCTATGCAGACAGTACAGATAGCACAACTAGGCTCATCTGTCTCAATTAGCTGTGGTGTAATCAGTACAGTCTACGTGTCTGACTCAGCTGATATGGTTTTGACTGCCGGCATTGTATCTACGCGTGCTCTGCTTTGTTTTCCTCTCGTTTGCCCTTGTCTCTATCGGCTCAAATGCTTCTTCTCCTTCTTTTCTTTGCTCTCTCTGTCATTCTCTGCTCTTTTCCTGTCACAACCTTCTTCAGTGCTCTCTCCTTCATTATTTATCTTGTCTGTCTTTCTTCTGATGTTAGAAGCACAGACAGCTTTCTGATCAACTGAGAGAGGTATCCCTCTCTGCTCACTATAAAGCCTTCCAGGCACGGCAGCGGCGGTCCCCTCAGGGAACCACACTATAGCCCCACCATGAATGGCCATACGTCGGGCCAGAAGTGGATGCGCAGCTCAGAAAAATCCTTTGCAATGAGCTGAGTCTTCTCAAGAGTTGCCACCTGGATTCTGTTTTCTCTCTCTGTGTACATAGAAATCTCTCCAGCGTAGCACGTCTCCATGCCCTTCGGGAGGCTTCTGAAACACGGGCGCTGCCCATGTTTTCTCCGGGACGTTAAACCTATACATACATACATACATACTGGTCCATTATGACCCGCGGAAGGAAACCCAAGTTGAAACGGATGCAAGCAAGGATGGTATTGCTGGCATTCTATCTCAATGCTTTGAATCATCATCAGAAACTTATCAGAAAGCTATGAAAATAGCATCTGAACGAAGTCAAAACATCTGTAATTCAGTGCTTACTTGAAGAAAAGAGTGGAGACTCATCACATTTTTTTCACAGAAGCTTTCTGGAGCTTATAGAAACTATGACATTTATGATTTGAAACTTTTGATTATAATGGCATTATTTTGCCACTGACAGCACTATCTGCAAGGCAATCTGTATTCAATTCAGATCATAATTGACCATGATAATCTGAAATACTTTCTTCATATAAAAAGCTTGAACAATCATCAGATGTATTGGATGGAAAAGCTATTTACTTATGATTTCTATGTGGTCTATCAATCAAAACAGTTAAACCCCACTGATTCACCTTTAAAATATTTGAATTATATCATTTTCTCTGAGAATGTAGACTTAAAGCTGTCAATGCTGCTGGTACTACAGAAAAAGATTCATCAGAAACTTTATAACTCTAATTAAAACAGGTTAATAAATATTGAATTGTCTTCAATATGAGAAAGCTCACATTGTTCTGCAAAGTATTCTTGTTTCTGAGATTTCTTTAAAACTGACATTGAAGGTCATGAATTTCTTGTGCCACATTTAGCAGTGGTGAGAGCTTCTGAGGATGAAACAGGTCACAAACCGCCTACTAATCAGCTTTTAGACTTCATTAAAAAAAAAGAACTGCAGAAAAGGAACACCTTTACTATAACTTGAAGTTAAAAAGTTGAAAATAATGTGAAGTTTGAGATTCTTGAAGAAGTCTTCAATACATTCAGAGATCCTTCAATCGTCTGATGAGTAGATGAAGATTGTGGATTTTTATATCACAATCATGCTATCTATATTCCCTCTAACAAAGCAATCACTCAGAAGTTGTTGTGAATTCATCATGATGATTTCTGAGCAGGTCATTTTGATATTGCCAGAACTTTAAAGCTTTTACATTGCAAGTATTATTGAAATACGCTTCAAAAAGATATCGAAACATATGTCAGAGAGTGTGATATCTGTCAGCATGTTAAAGTTAAAAGGTATAAGTCATACAGATAACTTGTCAAAATTTCTGTGCTTATTAAACTGTTCAGTTCTCTTGTCATAGATTTCATTATCAGATTACCATCAGTAGTTCAAAAGGGAATCACTTATGATAAAATATGAAAAACTTTTCTCTATATCATATAATATTTAAAAAAAATAAGTGATCTTGACATTTTATATGAAAGTCTCAAAAATAAGATTGATGAATTTCTCAACACATTATATTTATTAATAAATTATACAGATTCAGATTGAGCAGAACTGTTGAATAATAAATATAAATTTATTTCAAATTTCATATTTAAATTAATAAATATATCAATTTTATAATGTTCATTTAAACAATTTTATGTTTTTTTAAATTTAAATGAGGCAGAATATGTGGCATTTAGTGAAGCAATATATAAAGTAATATAATTGCATAATATAATAATGGAATTAAAATTCATTACAGTAAAGAATCTTTTGTTTATCAGAGCAGATAATAAAGATTCAATCAATTTAATTATCATTGCTGCAATCACAGCACACAGCAAGCATATCAACACTCACTTTCATTATTTTTACATACAATTGAATGAAGATGTTATTTCTATTAAACATGTTCCCACTGAGAATATGATAGCAGATGGATTAATCAAACCTTTGAACACAGTGGCATTTAAGCATTTCATTGATTTACTAGGACTTTTCACTGATAACAGTGAGAATGATTAAATTTCTGTATGTAGCATGATTTTGGGATGATCCAAGTTGAGATAGCTAGCATGGAAGATTTGTAGGAACACATCACGCACGTTGGGCACTAAGTTGCCCAGGCGGCCCTCCACCGCACGTGATTACCCCTATATATAGTTAGCTAGCGATCGCACAATGAGAAGATTAACCATCCCACATAAATTCACCGGGACATTGACAATACAAGCTTAGTCACTTGCCAAGATCTTCAAGCTCACCTGCCGCATGCGGAAATTCCGAGCTCCATAGCAGTAGCAGGAGCGAGTTTTGGGGCGGATTCTGGCGTGTGGAGGACGCATCGGGGATGATTACAACTGTGGCATAGATTGTTGATAGATTGTTTATTTCAAGCCATTGTTTGCCTGTCTGTCTCTACCCAATTGTCCATTTATCATGCTCCATTGGTAAGTGTTCTTATCTGTTGATACGTTTACCCTTGTGGCCATGGAAACCCATGCTTATAGCATCAGGTATCACGTTCAATTAGCAAGGCGGCCGTTGATTACCCAGAGCATTGGGAGCGCGGTAGGTCCAAATAGGTCTATATCTCCAATTCTCTCTTCTCTTCGAGTTTGGAGTTGACTCTTGATTTCTCCAGATCCTCTTTGGTGCTGGAGATGTCCTTGCCCAGCAGCTGGTAGACAAGGTCGGCCTCGAGCACCACGACTATGCCCGCACGGGAAGAATGACCCTGTACGAGCGGTGGTAAGCCTGCATTCTTTCTTCTATTTCTCTCCTCCATGCTCCAATCCGTCAATTACACGTGCTCATCAATTACACGTGCTCATCAATTACAGCGATCTTCGGCCCCGGCGCCACAACCTGGTACAAATTCATGGAGCGGAACATTGTCCTGCGCAGTCCCAAGCTTACCCTCACAGCCCGCGTCTGTGGCGATCAGCTCCTCTTCGCTCCAACACACATGTTTCTCTTCCTCTCGTCCATGTCCATCATGGAAGGCAACGATCCGTTGGAGAAGTTGAGAACCAGCTACTGGTCCGGTTACAAAGCCAACCTGATGATCTGGCCGTGGGTGCAGGCGGTCAACTTCACCCTGGTCCCGCTGCAGCATCGTGTGCTGGTGGTCAATCTTGTTAGCTTGGGTATGTGACATTCCCGCCTATCCAAGCTGTTAATATTGCGCCCTGGATCCATGGAATATTCTCTTCGGCTAATAGAACAAGTAGGTTGGAATTGTATCCTGAGCGTCATCAACAGCCGGAAATAGGATTGTTTTTCACTTTGCATTCCTGCTGGTAGAGGCTATATATATTCAATCTTAGTTGGCTTGCATCACTTTCTGGGTTGAGACAGGTTTTGTTCTCATTCGATATCTTTGGGCTGGCCGGCTAGGTGGGAGATGTGGATTGTCCATTTTACTGCTATTGCATCGGCGTCAGTACTTTCTCTTTGTCCTGATCTAACTACCATGTATCTAATTCTCTTTTTGTAATTCCAGTTTAAAACATTTGCATTATGTATCTACTTAGAACAGGTGAAAACATCAGATAACCTGAGATTCAATTTTTAGGTTTATACCAAATAATGATTTGATCAACTCTGTAGTCTGTCAGTTGCAGTAAAATCTAAAAAATACTTATGATGTTTTTTCCCCACGTATTTAAATAGCTATTCACGTCCTTCTCAGTTCTATCTGGATCGTTCTGTGTAAATGCTGGTGAAAAGTTGGCGAATGTGTTGCTCAAAATCGTGTGCTTGCCGAACTCTCGATGTTTCATTTTTTCTTCAATGTAAAAAAACTCATCCTCGATAGCGCGACCAACAACCACATCTCAACAACGGCGGCGGCTCTCAAACCCACCAATCTTCCCGCACCTTAATCTAGTCCTCTTTATTTAACTATTGACTGTACCTGGCGCAGGCCGTTTTCTTTTCTATACTCTAGTCCCCTTCATCCTGCTATTATTGCTACGTTCTGTAGTGTTTCCAAAGCCCTCTCCTCCGTCGTCGAGCCTTCCTCACATCCTTTTCTCTTGATTTATCTTTTTTCTTCTCTCCTCATCAATTTATTTTCACTTCTACTTCTTCACCTCTCGGGACACTTCATTCCATAGACATCCTCCATCCAGCTCTTCCTGCGCCCATTGGTGACTCACTCTCCTTGCCTTGGCCCTCTGCTCTTCACATAACCATCATGGCCACAACGGCAGAGAACGGGATCGCGGTTCCCAAACCCGCAAACGACGAGAACGCAGCCCCTGACATCGCTAGCGCTCAGACAAAGCTGGGCGATACTGTTACAGTGTTTCATGACCCTAACAACTTCAACGTCAAACACCCGCTGATGCATGAGTGGACGCTGTGGTTTACGAAGCCGCCAAGCGGGAAGGTAATTTTATACACTGTTCTTTTCTCAGAAACTATCGGGTGCACTGTGTTAATTATGCTTCGTTCAGGGCGACAACTGGAACGAGCTCCTGAAAGAGGTCGTGACATTTAATTCTGTCGAAGAATTCTGGGGCATCTACGTGAGTTGCTAGAAAATAAGAGTGGTTGAACTGCATCGCATGCCCCTAACAAATATTTCTGCAGAACAATATCAGCCCCACGTCCGAACTAGGTCTGAAAGCCGACTACCATCTCTTTAAAAAGGGTGTCCGTCCCGAATGGGAAGACCAGCAAAACAAACATGGCGGAAAATGGTCGTATTCCTTCCGCGACAAGAAGAACGTCCCCATCGATGACCTCTGGCTACACGCCCAGCTCGCCGCTATCGGCGAAACCCTCGAAAATGACAATGACAACGAGGTTATGGGCGTCGTCGTAAACGTGCGTAAGGGATTTTATAGAATCGGCCTATGGACGCGGACAGTTGGCAAGAGCACCCCCGAGGGTCGCCCGGCGGAAAAAGGCAAGGAGATTCTGCATAACATCGGAAGGAAGTTTAAGGAGGTGTTACGGCTGAAGGAGGAGGAGATCTTGGAGTTTTCAGGACATACGGATAGTGCGCATGCCGGAAGTACGAGGGCGAAGGCGAAGTTCACTGTCTGACGTGCGACGGTTAGGCGGTTTTTATGTTTAATGGAAGAGAGACTGGGGCAAATCATTATGGAAATGAGAGCATGATATTATTGCCTAATGTTTTTCTGTGATATGGGATGGGATTGGAGGGATACGTGGGCCACTCTCACTAAGTGAAAGAAACAGGGGCAAACTGTACAGAGCATGGCGTGGTTTTAATACTGCGCAAATGCAAAATACTGTTGACTCCGCCTTCCGCTGTTCCATCCGCCATCTTCTATGCGTATCTCTGGCAAACGATGGCCTTAACACGCTTCCACGACGTCGTCTTCAACAGATATTTTCATTCTATACTTCACTGTGCCTTCTAGACTGTGCATGGTAATGATTACTCCATCCCAACCCCAGTCCAATCCGACATCATCGTTCCTCTATGCTTAATTCGAAATTGATAATATTGCCTTTTTCCCCCCCTTCTAATATCCCGCTCCGTTTCCCTTGGTTTTTATTGCGCCAATAAAAACAGCCGTTTCAGTTGTCATTTACTGTTTTATATATTCCAGCTTGTCCTTTTTCCTCGGCCCATCCTTTTTTTATCTGGTGTAGTGTTTCAAGCTTTTCGTGGCCTTCCCATCCATTAATAGCGTGATACATATTTATTACATATCTTAGAAGATAATAGCTAACTAATATGCATGGGAAAATGGCTTAATTGATATCTGTATTGTGAAGTCAATCACAATTTGCGTCGTTCTATTCTGTAATAGCGGTTGCTTGAAGTTAGCTGGGTATATAGGTAGCTACTTTGGCGACCAGACAACTCGCTACAAACCGAGCCAGCCATTCAATCCAGACTATATAAAACACTAACTAACCTATAATAGTCAACATGGAAGTCAAAAATCAACGTCCACCACGGAAATTTATCTGCGGATGCGCATGGCTGAAAGGTCGAGATGTATGTAGTAGTTAGCGAGCAGCTCGTGCAGCTCCGTCTCCGACAGGGAAAAAGGGAATCAACTTCAACAATAAGTCTACGCGTAAACATTGTAGATGTTCATCGCGGCGGAGAGGAGAGATGGAAAGGAACAAGTGCACCATTTCCACATTAAGTATTATAATACAAAGCGTACATATCCAAAGCTGAACAAGGCAGTTGTGAAAGGGGTCCCCCCCGCGTTTAAGTTAGTTTGTCTATCCATCTAGCTCATCCATCCAACAATGGATCCATGAAACATAATAGTGATGTGTATCATATTATACAACCTAGTTAACCAGTGCAGGCAAGGCGTGTTACAAGAGAATCGCATACACTTTTATCCCATCCCGTAACGGGCAAAACGGGAGGAAAACCATAGCTTAGGACTCCAGCAAATCCGCAAATACTAATTTCGCTAGTGATTTTTTGTTGACTGTTATTTCATATAGGCCAATCAGTCAGCCAATCGCACTCATTCCTATCCTTCGCTCTAAATGACCTGAGAACATTACATACCTTTCCCCATTGCATTCCGCGGCAGCCCATCCTTCAATGTCCGCATCTCCGACGGAATCTTATACGCCGCTAGCTTTCCTTTAAGCGCGCGACGCATATCCATAATACCCCATGTTTTCCCGCCGCGACCGGTATTTGCAAAATCAGGACTGAGGACGAGGACGACCCCAACCTTTTGGCCCCATTTGCGCGAGGGAACGGCGAGGACGGCTGCTTCTGCGACTTGGGGTCTTTGGAAATGTTAATACGTAACAAACAATTTGCTAATAGTTTTAACGGGGGTCGGGGCCACATACAAGGTCAATAACTCCCGCTCAATCTCCAACGCACTAACCTTCTCACCACCCGTTTTGATGATATCCACGCTCGTACGGCCTTGGATGAAATACAACGGACCCCGGCACCACTCCTGCCCCTCACGTCTCACACCAGCGGTAGCAACATGTCTGCGCACAGCCACATCGCCGGTTTTAAACCAGCGCCCCCCTCCATCTTCATCCTCCGTGAACTCTTCCCTAGTAGCCTTCTCGTTCCTCCAATACTCCTTGAAGATTGTCGGCCCTCGCAGTTGGATCTCCCCTACTCTCTCGCGCCCAGTCGCGTCAATCTCTTCACCTGGCATGATGACCTCATTCGCATCCGTGTCGAAGAGTCTGCATTCGACGTAGGGGAGAGGCCAGCCCACACTGTTGTCGACGCGGTCCGCGAAATTCAAACCACAGCTGAGCGCCATGCCGACTTCGGTCATACCATAGCGTTCTAGGAGGACGTTTCCGTGACTCAGCTCTGTCCACGCAGTCTTTGTGGAGGTTGGTAGAGCAGCAGATCCGGAGATGTTCAGCCGGAGGTTTATGGGGGAGATGGCAGTTTGTGTTGCTTGTTGAATTTCCGTTGGGAGGGATTTGTGAGTTGATAGGAGCCGGTTGTATATTGTCGGGACGGCGGTTAGGAATGTGATTTTCTCCTTAATTGGTTTCGTAGGAATACTGCTGGCCTTGCTTGGTGGAATGAAAGGGGACCCTAGTCTCTTCCAAACTGCGGTTGGGTTGAACGGGAACAGGAACTCGATAGACGAACCCGCTAATAATGGAGCAAGAATGGCATTGACCACGCCGTGGATGTGGTGGAGGGGCATCAAATGGAGCAGTCGATCGTCGGGGGAGTATTCCCATGCCTCAACCAAGGACTGGGTTTGCGCTGATAGGGCAGATTGCGGGAGGAAGACTCCTTTCTATTATGCGTGCGTTAACGTGTAAAGACTCCAGTATTCGTATCCCACCAAAAATACTTACCGGCCTATTCGTAGTCCCCGACGTGTACAGCATCATTCCACCTCGCGGATCCAACATACCTTGAAAGCGCAATTGTGTAACTGGATCCGCACCCCTTTCGATCTCGTCAAGTATTCTAAGGAGCATAGTATTCTCCGGATCCATCTGGACAAGTTCCTGAGCTTTCTTACTATATTTCTCCGTCGCCAGTAATAGACCAGCCTGCGAATTGTCCAAGATATATCTCAACTCGCCAGAGGGGAAGCTTGGTGAGAGAGGCAGTGCGATACCGTCGCAGGCAAGGATGGAGAGAAGAGCCACTGAGGTTTCGAAAATATCAGCATAATCCAACCTTCGATCAATAACAAGCAGTATCAATATATATACATGCATCAAAGGATTGAGTATGCAACAGTACCCACGTAGTCATAACCATTCTCTGCCAAAAATGCCACGGGCGAACCTTGCAAATCTACATTTTTGGGGAGTGCACCTGAACATTGCAGCAGGTTTTTTTGGGAGCGTAAAACATCGCCAATTAAGCTACCATAGGTGAAGGACCGGCCGGAGGCACTGTGGACGACGGCGATCGACTTCGGATCGTGGTGGTGTAGAGCGCGAAAGATGGGTAGGTCAGGGAGGGTAGATACGAGGCGGGCTTGGAAGCAGCAACCGTAAGAGAGATAGAAGCTGGGTGCAGGACTCAAAAAGCAGCGGTAGGATGCGTGAGTGAGAGATATTAGGCTGCGTGAGGTGAGCATGTTGGAGGTTGCGAAAGGTAAGTATGCGGAGGAGAAGTTCAGCCATGCCACAATAGCGGGCAAGGAGGAATCGGACTATTAGGAGATGATGTATGTTTGTAGGCCAATCAGAGACATTAACGCCATTCTCCTTCGATATGGTGAGGATTTTTTGAGCTTGCGACGAGAAGAATGAGACGAATTGGTGATGGGGATGTTGAAAAGAGTTCCTCGCAAGCAAGGACTAGGCCGAGAGGCTAAATACATAATCATGAATATTTAAATTGCACCGAAGGTTTGATACTCGACTTCTTCCCGCAATCAACAATCCTGGACCCTCCGTTTTCATTATTTTCTTATCCGGTTGAAACAATTCACACATATACCCATACGTAAAGCCAATGCTCCGCTCCATTCTCCCGCGCCAGATTCATTTTCTGCTGCTGCAACTCCGCTCGATCTCCAGTGCATCAATGTCGGCTACGCCTGTGGAAGACGCCATCCGCGCGAAGGTATTCAATATATATTTGTCAAACCAGGACAAGGGACCTAACAATAACCAAATCTCACCGAATTCTAGCTCCAACAAACCTTACAACCTTCCACTCTCATAATCCGCAATGACTCTAAACTCCACGCCCACCACGAGCCTATGCGCGGGAACACATCAACAGAGACGCATTTCCAGTAAAGCCATGTCTAACTACCATTTTAAAGCCCCTCACTCGCAAGATCCGTGATTCTAATACTATATACCCCACATCCAACAGCATAACAGTAACTTCACCCTCGTTCGCATCCAAGACGCAAGCCGCACGACATCGCATGGTCTACGCTGCGCTGAAGGAGGAGTTGGCACGGGAGGGAGGGATTCATGCGTTACAGTTGAAAACGCGGACGGCGGAGGAGGAGGTGAGGGACCAGGTGAGGGAGACTAAGGAGAAGGAGGTTGAGACGGAGTGAGCTGCGTATTGGTTGAACTGATTATTGGAGTCAAGTAAGCATACGTTTAAAGGCGGGGGCGGGGCTGCAATATTTATCTGGAGGTAAAGCATTGCCGGCTTAATTGTAATAGTAGAACAGAAAGGTATATCATATGAATTACTTTAAATGAAGAAACTACATTCTAGAGCTTGGAGCTCTGTGCATTTATGTCTTCCCACAAGGTTCTTTTGCCTGCTTTGCGAAAAGAAACAGAAATTATGTCAAGCGCGGTGTATTCGAAGAGTAAAATTATAGAAATGGATAGCTCAATTGGTATAATATGATCCGACAGGAATTATACATATAATCGGAAGGTAGCAAATGGTAAATACAAAGGAGGTGTCTAATCCAATGGGTGCAGGCGAATACGAACAAGAGATCAGGGGAACAAACAGCAACAAAAAGAAGGGAGTAAAATCAAATAGAAAAGAACACACAAGACTGAAGCTCCGATGATGTCATGAACAAAGTAGAACGGGATATTACTATATAGGTATTTAGTTAGTCTTGTGAGCACGATCGAAACCGTGTCATATAATGCGTAGACTTCCCTTCTTGTCTTTTCAGCAAGGCAAGTCGTTCTGTTCAAGATGGAATAAACAAAAACAAATGGAGCAACGAAAATATAAATAAAAAAGAAAGCCTCCAAAGATGAGGATTAAAAAATTAATTAGACAAACAGGTATAAAGAAACGGGATAGTGTCTGTGTACAGGCTAAGCGAAAAATCAAGGGGAGAAAACGCGAAACAGAGATAAGTAAATTAGACAAGTCACAGTACAACAGTAAAAAGGGGTCTCAAAGTGGGGTGTGGAAATACGCCAAAGCTGAACAATTTGAAAGATTTTTTTTCAAGAAAAAAAAAGGACGAAAAGTGTGGGTCATTGGCCAGAAACTGAGTTTGAGGGCTTCCAATCCCAAAGCCACAAAGATACGGGCATGGGACTATGGGGAGGAAGGATACCGGAAGACCTTGAGAATGTGGGTTGGGGACGACAGAGGGGGTATTGACTTGGAAGAGAAAAGAATAAGATATTATATGAGGGGGGGGGATTGGCAGGTTTGAAAGTGTCAGGAAAACCTGGCTTTGGTTTCGCGGTTGGCTTGAGGGAAGAAGCCAACGCGGGAAGTGAGGGAGGGCTCACTCGACCAGAGTCAGAGCGTGGAATTAAAGTTCAAGAGGTGGGGAGCAAGGTGAGTAAGAGAGTATCCGCAGAACTTCCACGGACTGGAAGAAGACAACAACGGCTGACAGGGGAACAGAAAATACGAGCTTATTTGCCGCTGCTCTTGCTGCCGCCAGGTCCAACCGTGAAATAGATCGCAAAGAAAAGTACGAGCACAAGAATAATGAGAACTATATCAGATATGAATTAGTGAGCTGGCCAAGATGGGATTTCAAAGTATATGTCCATTAAAAAAGACCGTACTCACCCACTATGCCCAGACAAATCCACTTCTTCTTGTTGCGAGCCCTTGCCTTCTTGATAGCACCGCCGATTTCCTCATTACCCTTTGTTATATTATTATGGATCTGTTCGGTCTGATCATCGATTCGTTCAACAGCGGCTTCCTGTTGGATGACAATAGCATCGAGATCCTGGAACATCTGTGATAGTTCCAGCAGGTCGCGCTCGATCTTCAGGATCTCGTCGTGTCTGGCACGCACCATCTGTGAAACTTTCTGTGCATCGCCGCGTCGGTCGCTTTGCATAAGCTGTGATAGAAGGAGAAAGATGAAGATTAGTATATGTGGTCCGACTGGTCTTCGAAAGGGCGATCATCTTGATACCTGACTTTCTACAACAGGGTTGGTGCTAGGTACTTACAGCCTGGCTGAATATTTGTTGTTGCGATGGGTCCTGGACAGCTTCTTTTACCTCCTCATCAGTAGCATCAGGACGCACAATTCGGTACTGTCTTGCCATTTGCGCCTCCAAGTCCTTGCGGAAATCAGACTGTACGGCATGGAAATTTGTAATGGCGGACTTTAGCTTCCGCTCGACCCTTCCGATCTGAGCGCTGTTGATGCTCTCCCCGGAACCAGGAGTCTGTTTTATGCCCTTCAAGCGTTGGACCAGATTCTGGTAAAGGCGTTTCGCATCGCTGGCTAATCCGTCTGCCTGCGAACGAATGGCATTCTCACGGGTGGGATCCGCATCTGTGAGCAGACGTCGGTACAAGCCTTGGATCTGCTCGATGTACCTCTCTACCTCATCGATACCCTGTTCAATATCTTTACATTGGTTTAGGATCGCACGCTTGTCGTTTGGTTCATCATAGCCTCCTTGGATTGGCGGGTCATATTGAGACATTTCTAGACCGCAGAACGGATTAATACTTCTGGTTTCCATAACACGTATGGTTCGAAAAAGTGGAGGGGATGTATCAATAATAGGAACCCATGATGGAGAGAGGACAGCGTACCGTATCGACCGGCACCAGCTTCTACATCGTTATTGTATCTATTGTCTTGTCGAGAGCTGTACGGATCATATTGGCCATAGCCTTGGCCGCCGTAGTTATTATTATACTGTCAAATGCAACACAACCCCCATTGAGGTTCGACATTAGCGGGATAGACTTTGTAAGGAGAACCAGGGGTTCGCAGTGCGATATGCAGGAAGTGGAGAGGTTGGTAGAACATAGGAGAACGCCAGCCGCATGACGGCAGGCTAAGACTCACACTCATGATGGCGGCAAAACGACGTTGAGCAGAATATGGCTTGATAGATGTTTTTCAATTGTCGATGCGATAGATAAAATGGCCGCTCAAAGAGGAATATTTTGAGTTGGTTAGTGCTGGTGGAGAGATTAAATAGGGTGGGAAATACGGAAGTAGATATTCGTCTCAAAAAAAAGGGGGGTACACGGGACGAGAATGCGAGGCACAACCTAGAAATGCAGAACAAGCGGGAAGAGGAGAATACACAGATATAAAAGGGACGAGTAAGACAGTCGAAGAGGACCAGGGAACAGAGTTGAAGAGACGAAGAGGCGAAGAATTGGAGTTTTGAAGTCGAAATTGACGCAGGAAGGGGAGGCTCAGTTGGGGTTAGCCTAAAGGAGGCCTTAGTCAGCGGCAGGTGACACAGGAGATACCTAGTCATCTACGGATATTTGGCGGGTATAATTGGTATCCGCTATGTTCCTCGTCCGAGGGGCGGAACACGACGGGGATCGTCCTGCATATTTGATTATTATTTCAGCTTTTGCTGAGCCGGCGCAATAACCATCCACATAGACACCACCAGACATCTTACAATCGCCTCTCTGCATCCCAAACCTCAAAGCGCCTAACAATTAACTCAAAGATTCTTGCTTCACCTAACCACCTTCGCCGTCGTCTCGCCTACCAGGCCTGAAACAGTCAAGGCGGCAGACATAATATCCTGTGATGCTGGCTGTTTCCACTGCGTCACGCTCACTGATGCTGCATATAGCATACTCCGATACTTGGACCTATGTACCCCATGTTGGCCAGCTTATTGCATCGGGTAATGCGAGAGTAGCAATAATCCCTGCATCCCATCCCTCCATAAATCTCAGCCACAGCCCTCTCTGCTCTGTACGGAGTACCAAGATCACCCATCTCCCTAGATCAAAATCGAACTGCTACCCGCAAGGCTATCAAACGAGGGGGCTTTCGTCAAGGGTGGCGCGTTTTGGGGCGCTGCGCTGGCTGGTCAAAGGCCAATTCGGCTCCAAATTCAATCCACCCAGGCTCAGGCTCCAAAATTCTTTGCCAAGTTAACCGCCGTTAGCCTTTTTCAAAAAAAAAAAAGCAGTTGCATGATCCGTCCTGTCGGCCACTAATTTCCCTTATAAAAATAGCTCTGTCAGAACACTTGCATCTGGCTCGCACTAGTGATATGGACGTTGCCAACTCGTTCGTCCAGTCAAGCTAAACCAACTGCCAACATCATCAGCGAACGGATCTGCCACCATGTTGTTGTTTGCAGATATGAAAAGAATCAGAAAATCTGAAACGTACCTACTGTCATAATGTGGAAGGTTCGCCTTCATGTGACCGAAAAATAAGGAATCTGCCAACAGAAACAGAACAAAAGGAAACACAGAAAGTGACAAAGCTGGATGGGTGATTAAGTGAACCAAACCCCATATCCATAGTCAGACCAAAGTCCTGTAGTTGCCGAGCAGTATTTCTTTCCCCTTCTTTTATTATCATTGCTATTTATTACCTATCGCTTTCTCCCTCTTTTGTTAACTTCTTTTTTCTTTGAAAGAAGACTCACTAAAGAGAGAAACCGGAAACCCTTGGGGCTAAACGAAGTCAACATCAATCCCAACTCCGGAGTTTCTGCCCGACAATGAAGAGTTACTTTTACCGGGCCCAATACCCGCTGGCCGCTATCGGGTTCCTTATCAGTTACTGCCTTATCACTCACAGATCTACAGTACATACTAGTATGTCTCCGTCTCTGATAGAAGCATCGGGAAATATGGCGCTCGCAAGCGACGAAGCAAGGATAAACTCAAACTCAAAGGCTTCTGATATGATGGACTTTTGTGGCCCCTGGGTTTGTTCAAAGGCACGTCTCTAAATCTTGTCGCATATCGGTCCCAACATTCCTAACACATCCGCGTTTACTGCTTCGTTCTATGCCATCGCAACACCGGCTCCATATCGATGGATTTATCAAGTAAATCAATTACTTTACATCACACTCGCTCGCTGCTCAAATGACCCATCCAAAGTCATTTCATATCCATGGCGTCTTATGCGCGAACATGCTGACTCTGACAGATATTTGCCATGAATCAGATCATATAAGGCCAATAATTGACCTATTTTCACATCCATAGCCTGTTCTTCCCTATTACGCATGTAGAAACAGGAATTCTTCTCACATTGACTCTATCCTCCTGTTGAGTAAAAGTAACTGAGGATACCAGCTTATTGCAGGAGAACTAATACTTAAAATTCTCAGGCGTGGATTGAGATCTCGTGGGTTTCCAACGCTTTGGTCATGGAATACTGGGGAGAACGCTAGGCCGTAGTCCACCCGAAAATGCCCCCACACGTAAGTGCCTCGACATACCTTCCAGTTCTTGGAGTCCTGCAAAGGTGGTTAGGAGAACTTGGCTATTTAGCCAAGAGGAGGATTTCATTTGTTAGGCTGGCGTGGGAAATGGGAGAGTTGGAAGGATATAAGTCGATTGACAACAGGTTGGTCTGATATGAACCTCACACACTATTTGGTGTTGATGCCGTTTCAATCCATTGTTGAGGCATGACTTTGCTATTTTGCACAGCCCCGTAGTATGGGTTTTTCCATGATGGAACTGGTTGGGAATGGAGTCTGTCGTATCATTTTCAAAGGATGTGGAAACATAATAAATGCCATTTTCCCATTCTAAGGCCACATATCTATCAATTCCTCTTTTCCATTAAGTTGTTATAAAATCCATTGCATGCGTGAACGTTATCTCCTTCATCGCCTATTTTTGTTTAAAGAAGAGGTCCCTTGTAATCAGTTGATTAATATCCCATTCGTGGTCAAGTTCGCTGCTAGCAGTTTATAATTAAATTTTCACCCTAACTTCACACACACATATATAGGTATGTATATAATCTGTGACCCATCATCAATCTCCCCTTGTCCCCCATCTCCGCGTCTCATCTCCATCTGCCCATTCACGTTCGACATACCCAAGACGCTTCTTAACCTCAACGACAGTACGAGTATCACCAGTATTCTTACCTAGATTGTCCGATAATTTGATGGCGGGCCGGCCGCCGGCAGACGAGAGTTTGATGACAATGTTTAGCGGCACGGATTTCTTGTGGTCGGATAGCCGTGTGAAATCATCTATGTGAGATGTTAATAAGGGTAGTGAAAGGAACAGAGGAACAGAGGCGCCCTTGTACGACACAAAATGGAGAAAAGGGGAAACGGGGCAACTTACTGGTAAGGAACGTCCCGACACCAAAGACAGGTTGGAATCCTGCTTCCTCAGCAACGACCTTGTAGTCCAAACACAGCTGCAGATTCAGCGAGTCGGAGAACACAAGCGTTTTCTTATCTTTAATGCCTTCCTTGTCGTAAAAGTCACGCACCATCTTGACGAAGTTGACTGGGTCGCCGGAGTCCTGGCGCACGCCCGTGAATGCCTGAGCATATGTTCTGGTACTCGAGGCATTTTGTTCCTCATTGGAGGGATATTTGATAGGCGCCTCGAATGGTGGTTCTATGTGGGATAAGTTGCCTGTTGTAGAATTGCCCTCCGTGAAGGAGGCTAAGGTGCCTTCCGCTCCTTGCGTTGCTGTTGTGTAGTTCGGTATTGGCTTGCGAAAGGCATCTAGAAAAGCGGGCGTGCCAAATGTATCGGTTAAAGCTATTCCCAGAACCTTCATGGTCTCTTGTGTTAGCCTCATTGAAAAAAGCTTCCTGATATGTCAAAATTGCAGGCTGCAAAATAACACACTGACCCCTTCCCCAAAACATCCAAGCCAATATCGCAAAGCAATTTCATTGGCATTCTCATAATTATCCGTAATAGCGGCAATTCCCATATACCACTCATGAGCAACGGTACCCACAGGAGTAACACCGTGCTTCATTGCGAAATGCACGTTGCTAGTGCCAGACATCGCACCTTTCCATCCTTTCACCTTGCCATCAGCTGCAGCGCGACAGAGGCCCTTCATAACCAGACTGTGAGTGTGATAACTCCTTCGCCTCCGCGTGCCGAATTCAGAGAAAATACATCCATGTTCTAGCAGGGTGGCGCCCTTTCGATATGCCTTCTCTTCCTGGTGCCGATAATCCCAGTCACGATCGCACCATTTAAAATATGCTTCACTGGCTAGTGCCAAGAGGGGTATCTCGTAGAGAATAGTCTCCACCCACAGGCCATTTATTGTTATGTTGATATCTCCAGTATCTGTTTCCGCGCCTGTGTCATTTATAGCGGTGAAGGAGATGTGAAGCTGCCCCGCAGGCTTGAAGCGGAAGGATGATAAGAACCACAGGTAAGCAGGGCTAAAGTATGGACATTGTGACTTGAGATATTCGTATTCCTCAGTTGTTAGAGATATATTTGCAAGTTCTACGGAGAGTCAGAATGAAAATAAAAATGAAAATAAAATAAATAAAAATTATAAGAATAAAACAGTACATATTCGGATCTACTTGGATTGGTCCTTTAGAAAAATAAAGAAAGAAAAAGGGGAGTAATACCACATACTGTCAATTTCATTCTTCAGCCATGTGTAAGCGGCCCTGGTAAATTTCATATCACTTGTCCGATTGGTGAGAGCATATGTTACTTCTGCACGTCATACATAGAGGGCAGCGGCCCGGTACAGACCCCATGCGGGATAGGTCATTAGTTATTAAGGACTCGCCAATTAACAGCTGTAAAGAACCAGCTGCGATAATGGATTTCAAAAGAGAATTAAAGACCCACTCACCAGCATCGGGGAAGTATTTGAGCACCGCACATTGCATGGTAAGTTTGTATAGGTCTGTATCAAGCAGGGAGAACACCCCCTCCGGCACCGAAGGAGGGGTGGAAGAGTCACTCATGGTTTAGTACTCGGGGACGTCAAGGAGTTAATAGAGACAATGTAAGTAAGGAGTGGGGGATATATGTGTCTAGCAGCGATATCAAATGGGAACTTGCCGTGGTTGAGCTTGTTGTCCGCGAGGCTATATGTTTGCTCTGTTTGCATACACTTCTGCTCCCGTCTATCAGCGACGTCGATGGTACTATTGCCATCTAGAAGGAGATGATGGTGTGATTATTATTATTCTTACACGGGCAACTTGATACCTAGTTGTCCACCCACTCTATCAAGGCATGTGTCGTCAAACGCAAATTCGTCCTGAATATAGCCCACACCTTGTATTGCAACTGTCCAGAACCCACAAGGCAACATGATGCATGTGATAAAATTAGGAAGATACAAGGATAGAGGTTAAGATGTGGTGTTATTTACAGAAGATGGTTACTGGAGTACAACGCAGATACCACCATGCAATGGCACCAACTGGCTTTAAAAAACTGCGTGAGGGTGGATAAGTGGGTTATTCAATTCCTAATGCAATATATGCCCAAACAGATAGTTATTACTAAAAAGAATAAAAACCCAAAAGCACGAACACGAGCAAGCAATATCGGTTTTCAAGACTAAAGAGGTATAATAAGAGAAAACGCCAGGGTATGGATGCATCGAGCTGACACGAGATAGGAACAAATACATGGTCAAATTAAAAAATTAGAGGAAATCATCGCCATCAATGACATGACAACATTTAGATCAGGGATTAGCAAGGCATGATTACAAAATAGCAACACAGGCGCGAAAAAAAAAAGACATTACAGACTTATGGTAAATTAAAGGATAGTAAGACAGAAGAATGAAGAGAAACGAAAAAGTAAAAGAGAATATGCCAAGAGCGGGGAACGGGAACGGGAATGGGTAGTAATGTGGGGTTGATTAGGTGGTGCGTGGTGCGTAGTGCGAAGTGCGTAGTGCGAAGTGGGGTGAGAGAGGCGCTGAAGGGGAAAGGGAGAGTGAGCCTCATGCCGAAACAGCATGCCACAAAAACACCTCGAGAGCTAAACAAGGGAGGGAGGAAGGGGGGGGGAAAGGTAAATCAAGATTCAAAACGGAGAAAGACCAGGGAAGCTGATGTGGGCGAAGGGAAAAGCAGGGAGCCAGAAAATGCATTATCAAAACACACCCAACAAGCCATCGGTCAGCAGGATGCGGCTGTTCATGCACAACTCGTGATTTGTTAGGTTGTGGCATCCATGTCCAAGCTGAAGGCACTCTACATGTGGGGGAAGCTGCGACGCAAGGATCTTCTGGGATTGTCTGACGAATATGCCGAGTCGAAGACGGACGCGCCACATAGGCATGGAGATAAGGGGTCGAGATCTTTGTCACAATGACGGGACGGAGGACGGAAGGGATAGAGTTTCACGGAAATTGGTGCAGCATGCGAGTAAGCATGCATATAAATTGCCGAGATATGGGCGGGACGATTCGTGCTGGAGATGTGGTATCCCCAATTGATATGGAACCCTCATTCTCCCTGCCATGCCACAGTCCAGGGGTTGTTGGAACAGCTAAAGAATGCATTATTGTCATAATTACCGCCAACCAGCAGATGGAGGACAGTTGCCCCGGCACCCAAGCGACGACATTTGGGTTTGCTGGAGTAATCCGTATCGAGGTCTCGACTGTCAAAGAATCGATGGGTTCCAGGATATGCAATGTGAAGATCGGACATGCGCAGCAAGCATCGCAGCAGAGCAGGGATATCGCGGCAGGGGGATACTTTGCAGGTTGACAATAGTGTCTGCGGGGAGAGGGGATGGGGTGGGTTGTCCGGGTATGGCGTGGCGGTTGAGCGATCAGGTCCAAGGGGTGCGCCAGCAGCTGTCGTTGAAAATATGCAGTAATGCGCAAACCAAGGCTGGGAGAGTGAGAGCTCCAAGCCCCGAAGGAGGGTCAGATGACTGAGGCAGCCGAAGCTAAGAACTGCCTAGGTGCTAACAGGGCTTAGGTGGTTCAGGGGTACAGAACACGTTGCCAGCCACTCCACAACGGGTCGTCAGGACAGGAAGCCCCATTTAACATTTGGCAAGAATGGGTTCCAAGGTTTAGTTGACCCGTTCCACGTGGATTTAGCTGGCTAGAGCAGAGAAGGTAAACCCGCACCGAAATTTCCAGGACATTGTGACTTTTGTGAGGCCGAGAGGAGTAAGGATGTGTCAGAACTCGTATTTACTTGAACCTTAGGGCGACCGAAGGTGCAGGGCTGACCGGTGTTCTCCGGGTTTTGGATATTATCCCAGCCCTCCTTCTCTGAATTGGGAATAGGAGAAATCAGCCGACAGGGGAGGGTAGGGTTTGCTGACTGGTTGAGGCATCGGGAATCGGGTCAGCAGTAGAAATTTGACAAGCTGGAATCTTATGACGTGACGTGGAGCGGTAAAAGGTATGCCGAGAAAGTGAAACGAGGAAAAAAATTTAAAACGAAAAAAAATAAAAATAAAAATAAAAAAAAAAAAAAATTAAAATTAAAATTAAAATAAAATAAAAGAAGAGAAAATAAAATAGGGCATGCAGATAAAGTGATTTTTGGCGCGATATTTTAGGCCCACAAGAGGCAGGGTGCGAGAAAGCAGCGGATTGCAATCGAGATGTTTTAGGATCCATATCGATGTGACAAGACGAAATTAACAGCCAGCTGCCAATATGACCTGTTTATATACATGAGTTTCGGAGGATGGCCAAGTAGATGAGGAATTGGAGAGCGAAATCGACGGCGAGGATTTAGACGAGGAGAATCATCCACACACACGGTCACACACAACGATATCCATAGTGACGATTTATTTGGGTACCGGTGGAAGAGGACCCTTAGGAGGAGGCCCCGGGCAAGGAGGATATTGACTGGCGGAGGTTGTATAGGAAGGCATTGTGAGAGTTGGAGGACGCTGTTGTGCCGGAGACAGACGTTTGAAGATGTTGGGGAATGTCGAGGGAACTTTAGATATATTCGAGGGTGATTATCTGTAGAAGATTAAGGTGTAACTATCAAGTTTGGACTCTCGAGGACCAAGAGGCGGTTATATAGTATATAATTAGTTTAAGGAGCGTGGGAGGGAAATAATAAAAATAGTCCGATTTTTATTCAGCAAAAAGACGGACGAAGAGAAGGAAGACGAGATATTTATGGCCGAGAAGAGCGAAAATTAAAGAAATAATACAAACGTCAGACAAGAATTAGGTACCCGGTATTTTATATTGCTTTTTGCCCTGTTTTCTTTCTCTCTTTCCTGCGCATTTCCTTGAAATTTTCTGCCTTTGTTGAGTATTGATATTTACAGATCCCATTACTTTCAAATTGGTGTCACGCCGGTACACAGGAAAATACGAGAGTATTTGGGCCTCTCCCCAGCCTTTTTTTTGAATTTTACACAGCTACAGGGATGCTTCATGCTTCAAAAAAAAAAAAAAAAAAAAAAAAAAAAAAAAAAAAAAAGAGAGAGAGAGGTACGTTTTTCAGTGAGGCTTTGATTATTTATTATTTATTGACTTAACTATTTCTTACTGAAGGCGGATGCTGATGAAGCACTACCATCTGATGAAGCTAAGCTGCATCCCAGAATCCTGCATCCCTTGTCAGTGTAACTCCCAACAGCCATGTGCAGGGCATTCGTACATGTCGAGTATTCTGTACACATACAGGAGATCAATTCAATCAGATAGAAGCAGTTCCATGTGAGAATATAATGCGCACATTTGCATCTCCACGTATTCATCACGCATACTCTCTAATAATCAAATGCAAAACAAAATAGTGACCCACATCCCCAGATTTGCCATCGGCTCTTATATCCAACCTTTCCCACGGTTGCGAGGTGGAAAGCGGTGCGATTCATCCTCTGACATAGGGTTCGGATATCCAACCGCGACAAAGCATCTCATCAGATGTGTCATGAATGGTTTGCACTGGGTATCATCATGCATCCTGCTCCGAACATCTGTACACATTTATCAGCCATTTGCCTCATCCCTGTTTGTAGCCTGCGCTAGCGACCAACTATCTCTGCAGGCAGCGATGTGACTGTATTGGCCGATTTGCTCGCAAGGGCTGAATGCGCAGCATCAAGGCCTGCATGACCCAGAGTGCTGGGATCTCGGATCAGGGCTCTCAGGGATGGACGTCAGTGAGTCTGCAATTTTGCGTCGTGGTGGTTGTGGTGACACGATGGACAGGGTTTAATCCTGTCCTTGGCCATCCCTCCAAACATGGAACAGCACAAATTGATCGTGGGGGAAACGATTCTTGTTGATTGCAAAAGATTTTTTCCTTCTCATCCTTCGGGAAATTTCCCGGTTTTCTTTCTCTTTTTTTCCCCCCTTAAGTGGGCATGAAGTTGAAGCAACGATGAGGCACAATTAAAATGAAGCTCCACTGTGGCGGTGGCCTTTCTCCCTCCAGGATTCTCTCCGCCATCTCCATCGTTGCCCAGCGAGATCGTGATCGTCCTCTTTGTGTCGCCAACCCACACCATCCACGCCGCACGCCATGCGCCCTGCCAGAGGCTGAAACCTAGCGTATGGTGTCAACTCGAAACACCCAAACCCAATTCGGTTATTTACAACACTAGTAATCTGTCTGACTCTACCAGTGAGTGAACGTGGAAGGTTGTCCTCATTTCACCAAAGACCACGGTCCAAAGAATGGAGCTCGTTCTGTCACGAGCTGAAATTTTCCGGATAAGCCGTACTAGACCAGCGAACGACTCAACGACGTTAGCGATGTACTGAGTCTTCACTGAAGCTAAAAGCGCTGAGATAAAATACCTGTGTGTCCGATTTCTTTTAAAGAGAAAACTGGCGAAAATCTCTGTGGCCCTGTGATCTAGAATCCCCACTTGATGAACTTCCCATTCTCTGTTTTTTACTGTGAGGAGGTCAAGGGCTTCAGAACAAATAGTACTCCTATTATTTTATATTTAACATTTAATTTTGTCTACGTCGTATCTTGAACAATCATCTTGT